TCTACTGCTCTTACTATCCCTGTTTTATACTGTCCTTCTACTGCTCTTACTATCCCTGTTTTATACTTTTTCTGTCCTGTCTACTGCTCTTACTATCACTGTTTTATACTTTTTCTGTCCTGTCTACTGCTCTTACTATCCCTGTTTTATACTTTTTCTGTCCTGTCTACTGCTCTTACTATCCCTGTTTTATACTTTTCTGTCCTGTCTACTGCTCTTACTATCCCTGTTTTATACTTTTTCTGTCCTGTCTACTGCTCTTTCCTATTTTATACTTTTTCTGTCCTGTTTTATACTATTTTATTTTTCTGTCCTGTCTACTGCTCTACTACTATCCTATCCCTGTTTTATACTTTTTTTCTGTCCTGTCTGTTTTATACTGCTCTTACCTGTTTTATACTTTTTCTGTCCTGTTTTATACTGTTTTATACTTTTTCTGTCCTGTCTACTGCTCTTACTATCCCTGTTTTATACTTTTCTGTCCTGTCTACTGTTCTTACTATCCCTGTTTTATACTTTTTCTGTCCTGTCTACTGCTCTTACTATCCCTGTTTTATACTTTTTCTGTCCTGTCTACTGCTCTTACTCTCCCTGTTTTATACTTTTCTGTCCTGTCTACTGCTCTTACTATCCTGTTTTATACTGTTTTTACTTTCTGTCCTGTCTACTGCTCTTACTATCCCTGTTTTATACTTTTTCTGTCCTGTCTACTGCTCTTTACTATCCCTACTATTTTATACTTTTTCTGTCCTGTCTACTGCTCTTACTATCCCTGTTTTATACTTTTTCTGTCCTGTCTACTGCTCTTACTATCCCTGTTTTATACTTTTTCTGTCCTGTCTACTGCTCTTACTATCCCTGTTTTATACTTTTTCTGTCCTGTCTACTGCTCTTACTATCCCTATTTTATACTTTTTCTGTCCTGTCTACTGCTCTTACTATCCCTGTTTTATACTTTTTCTGTCCTGTCTACTGCTCTTACTATCCCTGTTTTATACTTTTTCTGTCCTGTATACTTCTGTCCTGTCTACTGCTCTTACTATCCCTGTTTTATACTTTTTCTGTCCTGTCTACTGCTCTTACTATCCATGTTTTATACTTTTTCTGTCCTGTCCTACTGCTCTTACTATCCCTGTTTTATACTTTTCTGTCCTGCTCTGTCCTGTCTACTGCTCTTACTATCCCTGTTTTATACTTTTTCTGTCCTGTCTACTGCTCTTACTATTCCTATTTTATACTTTTTCTGTCCTGTCTACTGCTCTTACTATTCCTATTTTATACTTTTCTGTCCTGTCTACTGCTCTTTACTCTCCCTATTTTATACTTTTTCTGTCCTGTGTACTGCTCTTACTATCCCTGTTTTATACTTTTTCTGTCCTGTCTACTGCTCTTACTCTCCCTATTTTATACTTTTTCTGTCCTGTGTACTGCTCTTACTATCCCTGTTTTATACTTTTTCTGTCCTGTCTACTGCTCTTACTATCCCTATTTTATACTTTTTCTGTCCTGTGTACTGCTCTTACTATCCCTGTTTTATACTTTTCTGTCCTGTCTACTGCTCTTACTATCCCTGTTTTATACTTTTCTGTCCTGTCTACTGCTCTTACTATCCCTGTTTTATACTTTTTCTGTCCTGTCTACTGCTCTCACTATCCCTGTTTTATATTTTTCTGTCCTGTCTACTGCTCTCACTATCTCTGTTTTATACTTTTTCTGTCCTGTCTACTGCTCTTACTTTCTCTGTTTTATTCTTTTTCTATCCTGTCTACTGCTCTTACTATCCCTATTTTATACTTTTCTGTCCTGTCTACTGCTCTTACTATCTGTTTTATACTTTTTTGTCCTGTCTACTGCTCTTACTATCTGTTTTATACTTTTCTGTCCTGTCTACTGCTCTTACTATCTCAGCTTTATTTCCAAGCCTTGTTGTTCATCTGAGTACCTTCTGGTATGGCTTTGCCGCGTAAAATTTCGTAAAACAAAACAGAACTTCGCAACTCAGCTTCATAAGTTAATAAATTTAATAATGAGACCATGGAATGACACCATAAATATATCAGCTGTTTATTTACATGGCAATGCCACTGTATAAACATGACAGCGCGTGATCATCTTAAAGTCACGATTGTGGACATAGAAACATTGATGGATCGCCACTCCGTCAAAATTGTTGTTCCATATTGCAATTATGCTGTCGATAATAAAAAAAAATCATTTTGGATTTAATCAAATTGCAATCGGCATAGCACAGCAAATTGCAAAGGGAAGGCAAAGAACTGTCTTGTTGTGATGTTTATGTGTGCAATAAGGTATGTTTGCCCGCAAACGCCTGTCATTTACACGATTATTTATGCCATAACACAACAGTACAATATTTAAATAGTATGACAATGCAGAATGGTTGTCTTTACTGAAAAATCAAGAAAATACCAACATGACAACATAATCACAATCCAAACACAAATTCCATAAAACTAGAGCAAAATATTAACAAGGGAAAGATTCACACGGAGACTCCTGTAAAAGCACAAGGAGAACAAGATCAGGCGTTCCGGAAGAGTAAGCGTCTTCTGCTTCATCGATGACACCAGCCATGTAAATTTGGGTGTTTTCATTGGTAGTATCATATTTTTGTGCCTATTATGTCGGTGAATTACTTTATCCTTGTTCTTTTGGAAACATGCAGAAATATCTTTTTATAAAAAGAAAGTGAAGTGTTAATGAAGAAACTTACAATCACTTTTTCAGACATAAAGAATTTTAAAACTTAGTTGTTGCCTAAACTGTTTCCTTTACGCTATTTTATACGCAGGTGTATATCTCTTAGTCAACACACGAATGATTTATCTAGCACAATGTAATATGATGATCCTATGTAAAATCATTATAAATTAATTCAAAGCTAAAGATTTCCAGTTCATGTTACAATCTTTCGGCTTAAAAACATCATAATTCAGACTACATCAATACAAAACAACAGCAATTATTGAATCAGAATACTAAACCCTTTTTAAATTAAGCCAAGCATTGATCCATTCCATTCTCTCACAGCTCAATATACCCACGATTTCCCGTTGACACATTGTATTTCTGTTGTTCTGAACTCCTCAACACTCCTTCATCAACGATTTGCACATATATTATATAGACAACTACTACTTCCAACAGTCCTTTAACATAAACTGTTACTTAGGTAAGCAATTTGTCACCAATGACATTCAGTCGTCAACGTATTTCAGATTCAACTATTTCCAAGGGTTTTGCGAAAATAACCAATTAAACTTTCTTCGAAATATGTACCTGAAATGTTCTGCAGTTTGTTTCTGGTTATACTTCTATCAATTGCATATCGTGCAGTATAGACTTTTTACGCTGGAAGCTAATGAAAATTTCCCGCGGTTTTTTTTTTTTTTTTTTTTTTGTGAACTCTCCAACTTTCGTTCAACGATTCGATCAAATCACCTTTCCCGTGAGTTGCTGTTTAGTTTGGGGATAAGATAATCCACATAACACACTTTTTGGTGTTTTACTTATCTTATGAGACCATACCGAAGTTAAGATATTCTGAATAATTTCATCTTCAACGTCAATGTCTATACCCTCCCCCTTTCCTCAACATCCCCCGGATGTGCAAAAGTAACGCCACCCCATGATATTTACAAACTTTGATATAAGGAACTTGTATGACAATTTTAGATATTGTATCCCGAATCTTGTCATAGATATTTAAGATTAGTGGAACTTGTGTCGTTCATGAAATAGTGGGTGAAATGTAAAGCTGATAATCTTTGTCCCCAACTGAACAGTTATCAACATATTGTCAGTAATCATTAAAACCATTGCTTTCCTACTATCGCAAAATACAAGATTAAAAGGAAAACATGCCTCACACTGACGTTTGGTGTGAAGTAGGGGGTAACTACAATTGAACTAGAAGTGAATTAAATACGAAGCTAGTTACATAAAATTTACAGAGTTATAGTGTCCCTCAGTAACCTTAACAAAATAGAAAGTCTATTCTTAAATGATTTAAACTTTTGTCATTAGACTGTTTTGAAATTGATAGGGTTCCGAAACTAAAAACAATTTAGATAAAAGGTCACAAAGTGGAATATAAATCATGAGAAATTCTGGTTAAATAGATGTACCTTCAAGATTTTACAGCCTTTCTTGTTGTCGTTTTCCATGTACGTTAGTTAAGCAGTTTATTAATATATTGTTTCCGTGTGATATCGCATGCAAAATTTGTATATACGTTTCCACGCCATATCACCGATTACCAAAAACACAACAAAACACAAAATAGCTAGAAATGTTGTTTATCTTGTTTTGCTAATGTATGGCCACGGCGTTAAATAACGATTACCGACTCTAACCTAGATCAATTGAGCAAACCAAATTGGACTACATTAAATATAGATTGCTTAGTGTAAATTAAGATAAAAATGGAAATATGTTGAAATCTGAGAATGGGACTTTACCTTTCCAATTTTGAAAAAGAAAATGGTTCATCAAAAATCATAGTCCTATTGAAAATGATTAAAGATAAAAAAAATACAAATGAACACCGGGAACAGTTTTAATTTTAGCATTATTTTTAATACATAGATATTTAATGTGCTCTTGACTGTTTAAAATCTGAAATACCTGTTAGATTTAATATGTGGCCAGCGCATTTAGGCCCATCGAATGTTATGCCGTTAGGGAGTATCCTTTTTTCCTCGTCTGCCCCCTTCTGCCCCACTGCTCCCCCCAATTATTCCTAAAAGTAAATTTATTAGTATATAGAATATATTTCATAGTCACTGTTTATAGATATGTTTCTAGTTCTTTAAACACGCTACATTATAAGATGTAAGCGTGAAAGAAAGAGCACCCTGACATGACACTACCATCAGTTGTCGGTGGTGATATTACAATCAGTCGATACGCATGTCCATGGTGAACTGTCAGAGCCCTGCGGATCGTTATTTGTTAACTACCTTCATCCACTACACACTATGGCCCTGAGAAAAGGTACGTTAAATCCATTGATAGGATGATTTATTAAGATCGAAGATGATATACTTAATGTACAAAAAAAGTGCTAATAATGGTGTTTTAACGACCTTCTAGAGGACGTGTTCGGAGAGTGTAGTTAGTATGTTCTGTATATGTTTATTTTTGTAAATATATTTCTGTAATCAATTTAATATTTTATCATTGTCTTGTTTCTGGGGATATCCCATCTGTTCCAATATATGAATGTATACAGTATTGTTATTTGACTGTTTTTGAGCAGTTGTCGCGTGCTTAAACTATATTATTGTATATATAGTGTATTGTCCTATACGCCTACATGTATACCAGAACTATAGGTTTTCATAATACTTATATCATCAATACTGTTATTGAAACACAAAAATTGTCAATATATACATTTTTGGAAATTTTTATTTAATGAGAACAAACATGAATGACTGAAGGGATTGTTCGGTATAAATTTGTGGTATGAAGTTAAAATGATCAATTGTTTTGTGCATTTTATTTTCAAACATCTGGGAATATATGCCCCTTTCTGACCTTTTACATATGACTTGAATATCAGTAATCAGAAGTAGGCTTCATTGTACAGAACTAATATCAATGTTTCGGTTTATGTTTTCAGGTTTCAGAATTTTCAGCTGCGTACTCTTCGCGTTTTGTTGTGGCATAGTAATAGGAATACTCTCTACATTACTCATACTTTATCCTAAGTCAGCACAGACGTTCCTGCGTCAAACAAAGTTTGACAGAAACAATACAAGTCACACTGGGGAGGGCAAAGTCATCCAAGAAAATCAATCGATCGTCTTTCAAGATTCAAAATATCATCACGGTGAAGTTTGATTGTGTTCATACTGATAACAACATGTTACTCTCCGGTTGATGATGTCCTTTTACATTACATATGTCACATGTTTATGTATTGATTCCAATTGACATCTGTATTGATCCCCGACATCGCCGTTCTCTCACAGATTGAATGATATGCTGACTCCATCTGAAGACTTCTGTTTATTTATTTGTTCTGTCAAATCATCTGTATGTTTCAAAATGCATCTTTCTAAAAAGAAAATTGTGCTAATCATCCCTGCTTTCGTTTTGAGGCATCTTAATCTGTTGACCTAATAGTAACATTGCTTAAATATTCTCCAATATCATCGTAGTCATCTATTTAATTGCTAGTATTGATCATGCAAATTAGTTTTCATTAGAATGAACCTAACAAACGATAGATTTACTGTGACACAAGACAATGCATTATTTCACAGGTTTATTAAATATAGTAACTAAGTGATTATATCGCTTTTTGCAGATAACACCAACATTGCCGAGGATTTAAAGAGGCGGATACGTGTGTTGTGTTGGGTGATGACAAGTCCGCAAAATCTTCATGTTAAAACGATTCACATAAAACACACATGGGCCAAACGATGTAACGTAGTATTATATATTAGTTCAACTACTGACAAGAGTTTTCCGACCGTCGGACTAAACGTCTCCGAGGGCCGGCAACATTTGACTGAAAAAACTATGCAAGCATTTAAGTATATTTACGACAATCATTATAATGACGCAGATTGGTTTATGAAAGCTGATGATGATACCTACGTTATACTAGAAAATCTTCGCTATTTTCTAACGTCACAATCGCCAAAGGACCCCGTCTATTTTGGACACCATTTCGGAAGGTATTTAAAACAAGGTTACCTTAGCGGAGGGGCGGGGTACGTTCTCAGTAAAGAGGCGCTACGAAGGCTGATTCAGAAGGGTAACAACACCAAAATATGCAACAACGTCGGTGAAAATGAGGACCTGGAAATTGGTCGATGTATGGAAAATATCGGAGTAAAAATCGGCAACTCAAGCGATTCTTTGGGAAGAACAAGATTTCATTGCTTCACTCCAGAATTACATTTATCAGGCGATTACCCGAGCTGGTTTTATAGATTCGACGCTTTTCATGGCAAAAATAAGGTAGGTATATTATATTTGTATGTTGTATATTGGTTCATAAGTGAAAACATAAAGGATATACAAAAATAATAATGATTAACAGGGTATATCTAGAATCATAGTCTATTATAAACAATTTATTTCACTTACAATAACGACATCGCTTTAGAATGCACCATATCAAGTCACTAAGTGAACAATGTTACAAGTTTTAACTTGACTGCAAAGAGAGAGAGAGACTTTGGGATTGGACTGAACGTTTCAAAGTAAAAGTTTGAGATGGAGAAAGACATTTAGATCATTTTTTTTAGTAAACGGCTTATCATTACCAATAAGAAAACAGTGATCAGGTTCATAGTGGCCTTGCTAGTATTATGTTCTGTATTTGGTCTTCTTTTAAGAGTCTTTTTTCATTAGATAATACAAAGATTGTTTTGTTTCGAATGAAGCAGATATTACACAGGATAAGATAAGATCATCTACTGGTATCAATGTGAACAGATTGTTCAACAAAAGTCAGTTGTTAATTGTATTTACTCCTTTAGATATCATCGCATTAGTCTTCATCCTCGTCCTCCTCATCGTCCTAGTCCTACTCGTCGTCCTCGTCTTTCTTATCGTCCTCGTCCTTGTCCTTCTTATCGTCCTCGTCCTCCTCCTCATTGTCCTCGTCCTTCACATTGTCCTTGTCTTTCTCATTGCCCTCGTCCTCTTCATTGGAATACTTTGATTTCCGGTGACTAATGTCCATACCCCCAAAATCAAAATTACCACGTTCAATATCTAATGTGGCCACCATTTGCAGCGACACAAGCGCGGCATCTTCGAGGCAAATACCGAATAAGGCGTTGAATTTTGATTTGAGGAAGTTCCTCCACTCTTCCTGAAGAGCGATTTCAAGCTGCCGACGCGTCTGGGGCTGTTATGGTCGCTCTCTCACAGCCCTACCCAATTGGTCCCAAGATGCTCGATCGGACTAAGATCCGGGGAAAACGCGGGCCACGGAAGGGTTGCGATGTTCTGATGTTGAAGGTAGTCTGTAGTGATACGAGCGGTATGTCGTCGTGCATTGTCCTGTTGTAATAACGCTACGTTTGGGTGTCCAGCAAAGAATGGAACAACAGCAGGAGTTAAGACCTCGTTGATGTAGCGCTGTGCTGTTAGATTGCCGTCAATAATTACTAGAGGGGTACGGTATGCAAAAGAGATACCTCCCCATACCATCACACTGCCCCCGCCCCACCTATCCGTTTCCGTTACACAGCAGTCCAAAAACCTTTCACCTCGACGTCGCCACACTCGAATTCTACCGTCATTTCCTCTGAGGCGGAATCTCGATTCGCGCTAATGCTTAATTCGACGAGTTGTTTGAAGTTTCTGTGACGGGTTCCACCATTGACCTAAGGAAATGACATTAAGAGATGTTTTATTTATATCTTTTAAAAAACATTAAAGCTATGCGGTAATTAAAACATATTGTGTTTCAGGGAATAGACGGGATCAGTGATTACGCTATTTCCTTTCACTATGTTAAACCTAACCATATGTATGACCTGGAGTTTTACGTCTACCATCTACGACCTTATGGCGTCACTTCCGGTCATCAGAATCTCAATCAGCCTGCACACTAGAGACACTTTTAGTCACTGACTAGCATCAAGACCTCGGCATCAATCTTGGGGTTAGCGGATGAAACAAAGTGCTGAGTCTAATCGACATTGTCTGACTGAGCACTGTGGACATATCTGGATAAAGATGACACCGAAAAGATGGCTGAAAATAGCCCTGAAAGTTTTCGCAGGACATCTTACACAAGTTGTTGTTGCAGAAACATTTATCATTTAATACCTGTTTCGTTATTATTTATTTCTGTGTTCTCTTTGATGCAGAAGACTCAATCACTTCAGAGATTCCTGGTCGAATTATGCCGAATTTTTTCAATTATCGCTTTTGCTCATATTCTGCAATCGTTTTTGATCGATATGTTTTAAGCTAGGTTGCCACTTAGAACATTTCTTGTCCGAATTCTGCTCTGCGGGAAACGGAGGACGACGTTCGTGAAGGTTAAACATGGCGGCCCACATTTACAACAAAATTTCCGTCCTTTGACAATCAGTTATGAACTAGCTAAATTTTACCTTTCAATCGTCGTCATTTATGTCCACAGGAATATCATAATAATTGCTCAACGAGAACAAAATCATCCTTGTTCTTATACATAAATTCTATCAATAAATGAAATCACTTTGACCGGTATTCTAAGTTCATTTCGTCTCACAGTCGTTTTATTTCCTCGCGAGTCAACAACATTCGTTTCCGTTCCCACCATTCTCTTCACATATATCTCCAACTCTGGTCGCCATGGTGACAAACTATCATATTTATCAATGATGTAATATTTGGCAGTACAACCATTGGTTCGTGGCAACAGGTATGTATCAGTTCTGTGTTACTCGACTATATAATAAAAGAAGTTTCGTGTAACAGTCTTTAATCTACCTTCAAATCCATACGGTTTCCTGACATTTTTATTTAGATTATTTGTCCAGTTCATAGCGAGTATATTAAAGATATCAACATGTTTAATATATCGTTTGAGTTATCCAGTGATTTTCATACTTTATGACTTGACTGTTTCCATCGAAGCGATGCTTCCACTACATTTCGCCACGAAAAATCATACCACATAATATAAAAGATCGCCCACAAAGGGAGATAACTGCTAGGAGGGAATTCTTCAATTAAACATTTGTTAGATGCGTTAGAAAGGGTGTGTATAAAATGGGGAGGGAGGGAGTGATTCTGGGTTATCCTCTTGTCTAAGACAATAGAACCTGAGCCCAGCATATCAATAATAGTAGTAAATCTATAAATATGCTCTTTATAAAATCGCTGACCCTGGGTAACACCTCGGTATTACACAGTACAATAAATATACACTTTATAACAACACTGATACCTAGGAAATAGGAACTCGGCATTACCCACGGTACAATAAATATCAATCTGAATTTTCAGAAAGAATGTTCATTACATATAAGGAACATGTATACAGATTCAATAGATGCAGGATGGTGAAGACGTTTAACGGACTGAATGGTTCCCGTGATGTTAACATTGTTCTCATTTTTGGAACGTGACATTGGTTCTTTGGATTGATCAAGATATGCATGGTGAGTGTTTTCGATGAAGCTTAAGACGCCGCTTACTCTTCCGGAACACCTGGTCTTATTCTCCTTTCAGCGTTATCTCGGTAAATCATTCTTTTGTCCATATTTTGCACATTTTTTATGGAATTTGAATTATCATGACATTTTTTTGTCAGCTCCATGTTTGTTGCCTTTATATAATAGTCATTCATGAGTCATTAAAATTGCTAATTTAGTGGCGCCATAGTTAAAGAACGACAGTACAAACGAGGGGAGGTCCACCCTGTTCTGATTTATCATAAACAATATGTTTGTGTTCAACTAAATAGACATTTGAATGTTGTGATGGCTGAGTCACTCAAGGACACTTGTAAGGAACCGTTAACTTCAATGTAACAACCCATTCAGAATATACCGACAAGGGGATAACCAGTGAGTGTTGCTTACAGCATTAAGCTTCCGTTTAGTAGGTAATGGAACCTGTCTAACTTAGGCGACCAAAAGTCACATGTTCCTATGAGCATTAGGACGAAAACCTTGAAGGAAGAGAAGAGGAAAGTAGATTTTAGTCGCCTTTCGTAATCAGCGAATGGAAATATCATTAACTATCTTTAAGATTTGTCTACAGGACAACATAATAGATAGAAAAAAAATACAAATTTGGCTGAATGATAAGTGCACCAATATGTTTTCAAACTAATAGACGATATCTTAAATAGTGTTAAAAATAAATGGTGTTATTGGAATAAGAATAAAATTTCTTGTCCAAGTAGTAAAAAAATGTATTTTGGTTTAGACCAAGCTGTCCGTGTGGAAAATATTCTTCCAGATTTCCGGAATGTTATTGTATAATACAGTGCTGACATGGCAACAAATTATGTATACTTTATCAAGTTGTAGACCTTTGTCTAGTGGCTAAGTTGATGTAGATAAATAAATCCCAATGTCTAGGTCCCTGTAAGTGTTAAGGGGACATAACTAGGAAATTAGTTGAAATATTTTGAATTGCTTCACATTCCGCGATTTTTTTTCCCATGCCACACTTTCACATATTTGATGGAATCCATTTTGACATTTACTCTGATACTTAAATGTAGCATGGATTTGTTTAGATACATAACATACACTTATTTACCGTCCCCATATACTTCGCCACATCTGGGAGTCTGCCGCCATCCCGTACGTGACTCATGCCGACTGTATCGGCTGCTGTTGTGGATATGAGAGTCCCAACACAGCGCGAGCACGTCAGATAATTACTTTGGCATTAATACTCGCAGCTTTGGAGAAACTTATTTTTAGTTAAGATAGATGTATAGTTGATGGAACAGTGACCAGACTATCTTTCTCTCCAAGTTAGAAACCAACTTCAACAAAAGGATCTCAAGATTAATTCTGGATGGAAATTGGTAAGTATTACTTTATCTCTTTAAGAAGACATCGTGTGTTATTTGACGAAACCCCAACAACGTGACTAGGATATATATAGCCACACCCCTACTGTCTTGTCTTGTCTGCTCGCGTGTACGAATTACCTTGCGATGGAATGTACAGTAATACCGACACGTGTTGAGGAAGGGCAAACGTGCAATATTTCTCACACGGAGAACTGGAATCAAAACCGCAAACAGATATAATGGAAATGTGTTCTGGTATTTGTAACAGTTTAAAGTTCGCCTTTTATTTGTCTTTGAAAAATCATTTCTCTTTTCCAAGTGATTGAACTATGAACGTGTGAATTGTCATAAAGATTTTCCTTAGACTGCGTCTTGTAGAACTCATTTTGAAATGCAGGTGTGCCAAAGTTAAGTAATATTTATGTGATATATGGAAATAATATGTGTATACATCATAACAGTGAAACATCGGTTTTCATGTTCAGGATGTGTAATTTATTTTATCAAACTCTGCTTAAAATCAACGAAAATAGCTTGTTTATGGGAAAACTTTCTCTTGGATAACTAAATTATTTCCGTAGATTTGTTGCCTAGATCAAAATGCATGACAACCTATTAACCAATTACCACAGTCACTACTCGTGTACAACATTATTGTAGAATCATGTCAACATGAGATAACATAAATACCAGTATTGTTTAATTCACTAGCTCGCTATTCGTGTGAGTTAAATAAGCAGTACAATATCGATATCAGCAGTTAAGGCCGACAAAACCATCGAAATACGAAAGGTCAGCTTATATACAGTAGACAACTGCAGGTGATTAGAAACGCTACCAACATGCCTAATTATTAGCTGTATTACCAGTGAGAAACGTTCCATTTTCTAACGATTTTTATAACTGAAAATAAACGGTAGGTTTTATACTTAGGTAGTCAAAAGTTTTATTCTTAGATCATAAAATACGGCGAGTGTTTATAGAATATCGCTTATCGACTTTAAATGTTTCAAATCGACTTCTATGTCTTGACAATTAGTTCCTCTTTTTATCGGTGTGTGTGTGTGTGTGTGTGTGTGTGTGTGTGTGTGTAGTCCATGTTGGAGTTGGGTTGTCGCCGTTGTTGTTACAAGGGGTGAGGTGTGGTGTGGGTGTGTAGGGCGGAAGAAATAAAAAAATATGTCAAGGTAACAACAGCAGGGTCTAACGATTTCAATCTCGAAAAAAATACAAACCAATTTAAGTAAGAAAAACCGCGGGATATGAAGATTTCAGATCTATTAGCTGTTCGCTTTCATCAACGTGATCATGAACAGTTGTGAAAGTTCACTGATCCTTCCATTCTCGCTGTTCTACAGACGTAATCATACCATCTACATTTCCTGAATGGCGTATCAGATTGTTTGAGACCAGATAATACGACCCCTCTGTGTCCCTCCTTTCCAAACAGAGAACGGTTTAAAATAGTTATTTATGTGTTTCCTGACTCCGTGTCTATACCGATCATACATAATTTTGAAAGGTACACAAGATAAGTAACCACACTGTGATACAATGTGAGAGTGGCAGGTTGGTATAGATTTCTAAAACTCCTATCTTTAGATTGGTGATAACGTTTTCACCTACAAAGTTACTTTCGTTTTTTCCCTTTTCTTAAAATTTAGTTTTTTAAGATATTCTCTGTTCTATTTTAAGGTTTGATAAGACATTTCCTCTGTTATTATTGGTTGTTTAAGACATTGCCTTTTATTTTTTGGTTGTTTAAGACATTAACTTTTTTACTGTTTGTTAAGGCATTTCCTCTTTATTTTTCGGTTTCTCCAGACCGTTCTGCTTTTTGGTTGGTCCATTGACAAAATGCTCCTGGGAATAAAGACTCGAACGATGAATTAAACTAGTCAATTGGTGTTTCTCTTAAAGGTATTAATACCTTATTAAAAATAAGTATCTCGTTTGTTGTTTTGATTAGTGAAACTGATTCCTCGTGTTAAATGTAGAATTTAAAATCCTCATGGAAGCATTGTACTGTTTAATGACTTTATTACCTTGGAAACGGTCAAGATCATGTTTGGGCGAGGTCACCATGAGGTGGTGATTGGTTACCATACGGCACACCCGTCCACTGTCACACAGAGCAATTGAGGTAGTGTTTTGCCAAAGGACACAGCCATAACTGTACAGATTAATCTGTCCTTGAGCTTCCTTGGGCAATGCTTTGAGCATTGTATAAAGATACACAAATGAAAAACAACTTTCAATACAAACTCCGCAAGCAAAATAATGATTTGAACTGTATCAGACGCAGTTTTAAAAAAGTTTATGAAATATCCTAGAATAATATACCTTCCAAATATATTGTAAATCTTTATTATATTTGTATCTTAAGTGCAATGTGATAGCTGTTAAACCATTCCTATCTGTATTGATGCCAAAAACATCAACTCAGAGGTTTTTATTATCAACAATAAAACGTTATTAAATAACTTTTAGAAGAGACAACACCAAACACGCGAAAAAACGCGTAGGAATCCCTATAGGAATAACAGTAACACATATAGCTGGTTTTGTGTTTCACAGACTTTCACATAACGTATCTGGTAACACTGCCGGTGGACTTTAAGTCCCCGAGGTTTGCCGTAACCTGCCTGTCACGTTTGAATTCATTCGAATAGTGGCACGGTTAAGGAAATACACATGTCTTTGACGCCCTTCTGAAATGGTTTGATTTATGAAAATCACGAAATTTCTTTAATGATGGAGTTGCTTGGATCTTTATTAGTCCAAAATTTAGGTCCTTACCATCACTGACGAGTCTTAGGACTAAACAGCTGTATGATGCAGTTTAATTCATTGTTTGGTTTGATTGCACTTCACTCTAAATTATGAAAAGATGCTATTCATTTGTGTGCTTTTGTACAATCTTATACATCAAAGCAGATATTTGTCTTATCTATAATAAATTCACTTCAAAAGATTACAAATATCCATCACATTGTTATTTGTTGTTAAACCTAAATAATAACTATACGATATTTCGGAACAAAGCGTAGCCGAATTGACTTCAGTACATAGTTATCTTCTTTTTACCAGCTCGTCACACTATTTTCGACCTTAATGGACAAAGGGTAATAGTACAGCCGAAAAAGTTGGCCGATTCTATACTATATCGTACTTACGTCAGTGCTAGTACACTCAACACTGTTTATTTGCCTGATTAAAGTGACCGCGTAGTCACACTCTAATTCCCTACTGGTTGTGTTGTAAGAATTTGTATTCTATTAATACACGATATCGCATAATTGTCAAAAAGATACAGTATATAAGATATATCCTAATGATGAAACATATTCATCAGATACATGGTAAATTCTAATATCAAGCTGATACACAAATAAGTACATGAAGCATTCAGTAGACTTCCCTAAATGTCATTGTAGTTTGTGATATCTTATGATCACAGGTACAGACCTACAGGTAATATAACATATGTATGCGATAATTTGACGGGAAACCATCTTTGTTCGTAAGTGATAATTGAATATAACCATATCTTAAAACACAAAATGACTGAATATTTCTTGTTCTGTTTTAAGAATTGTTAAACGGCATGGCTCCTACAGAGTTCCTTGTAGGAGGCTGAAATCTATTTTTAGAGTGATCTCTCAATATTGCTTTCCTCGGAAGGGGGCAAGATGGGGTCAGCTGGTTAAAGGAAAAGAAATTCGATAGAGTTTTATTCTTCATGTTATATCTTGGTAGTGTTACTTCTGTTTCAGCAGTCTTTATGTTTACAGAATGTCGACTCGTCTGGCTTACATCAGCGTACTAACAGCCAGTTCACTAACACTTTGAACTGACGTTGGATCAACACTATGACACATAACGTAGTTGCAATAGTAGAAAACATGCATTCAAAGACTACTTCCTTGAAACAACCCAAGAGACTTATTCCATGTATTACGTTTCTTTAGTTCATAACCTCCACGCATTTTAGAACTACTTTTCCCGAGAACATCGGTTCGAGGCGCACTGGGGATGATGTCTGTAGGGTTAGTTGTTTCCCCACTGATGACACGTAGGATTTCCTCCACCTAAACCAACATTTGTTTACTCAGCAGTGTCGTAATAATAGATCTACAGAGCCTATGTTGATAGTTAGCCTTTAAAATAAAGATTTATTTTCATTTCAAACGGAGTAAAAGTCATTTTATATCGATACATTTAATTCACATTTATTCATAATAAGGAGAATAAATTTGTGTATTATCTAACAGGGACAGTTTATGTCACTTACACTGAAATAGTCGATGATCACTGCTCCAGTTACTTTCTGCTCTGGCATGTAAGCTCCAAATTCCATCGTTATCGATATAAATTGATGTGCTTCACATTTAGTTTTATATACTAGGGTGTGGATGATATGCATATCAATTTGGAACTCTTCAATATCAGAGATGAGATTTAGAGTAAATACACCATTCCTTCATACGTGTGTATGTTTATGTTGTTTATCACTCGTTTCCAGCACTTTATTCAATTACAACTAAATACACAGGATTTTTCCTCAGTCATACACTGAACATTGCCAGCATAAGTGGTCTGATGACTTTGACGTCGATAAATGGCAAATATAATGGTATCCTGCACCATTATCGCAAGTTGGTCTAATCATACCGATATCACATGACTCGCTATCATACGAGACACCGTAATTCGTAATTCTTTCCCCAAAGTTTGTTTATAATAATATAATGAGATATTCCTGTTTTTTTTCTGTTTGAAAAAAGGAGAACATCTTTATACAGCATCTGAATAATAACAGTCCCGTTATATAAAAGACATGTTATCAGTTTTTGTTTCATAATTTGATGTTGTCGACATACTCCTCTTTGTGATCTAACAGACGATAATATAGTTCGTGGCCAAAAACTGATTATTCATTGAAATACTTCAAAAAATCGTTCTGCCATGTCTTATCTCCTGCGTTTACACCTGTTCTACCCTGTCTTATCTCCTGTGTTTACACCTGTTCTACCATGTCGTATCTCCTGTGTTTACACCTGTTCTACCATGTCTCATCCCCTGTGTTTAAACCTGTTCTACCCTGTCTTATCTTGTGTTTACTCCTGTTCTATCATGTCTTATCTCCTGTGTTTACACCTGTTCTACCATGTCTTATCTCCCGTGTTTACACCTGTTCTACCATGTCTCATCTCCTGTGTTTAAACCTGTTCTACCCTGTCTTATCTTGTGTTTACTCCTGTTCTTCCCTGTCTTATCTCCTGTGTTTACTCCTACCATGTGTTATCTCCTGTGTTTACTCCTGTTCTTCCCTGTCTTATCTCCCGTGTTTACTCCTGTTCTACCATGTCCTATCTCCTGTGTTTACTCCTGTTCTACACTGTCTTATCTCCCGTGTTTACTCCTGTTCTACCCTGTCTTATCTCCTGTGTTTTCTCCTGTTCTTCCCTGTCTTATCTCCCGTGTTTACTCCTGTTCTACCCTGTCTTATCTCCTTAGTTTACTCCTGTTCTACACTGTCTTATCTCCCGTGTTTACTCCTGTTCTACCATGGCTCATCTCCTGCGTTTACTCGTGTTCCACCATGTCTTATCTCCTGTGTTTATATCTGTTCTACCTTGTCTTATCTCCTCTCCTGTGTTTACTCTTGTTCTGCCATGTCCCCTGTGTTTAAACCTGTTCTACCCTGTCTTATCTTCTGTGTTTATTCCTTTTCTTCCCTGTCTTATCTCCTGCGTTTACTCCTGTTCCACCATGTCTTATCTCCCGTGTTTATACCTGTTCTACCATGTTTTATCTCCCGTGTTTACTCCTGTTCTACCATGTCTTATCTCCTGTGTTTACTCCTGTCTACTATGTCTTATCTCCCGTGGTTACTCCTGTTCTACCATGTCTTATCTCCTGTGTCTACTCCTGTTCTGCCATGTCTTATCTCCTGTGTTTACTCCTGATCTACCCTGTCTTATCTCCTGTGTTTACACCTGTTTTGCCTTGTCTTATCTCTCGTGTTTACTCCTGTTATTCCCTGTCTTATCTCCTGTGTTTACACCTGTTCTACCATGTCTTATCTCCAGTGTTTACTCCTGTTCTACCATGTCTTATCTCCCGTGTTTACTCCTGTTTTACCCTGTCTTATCTCCTGTGTTTACACCTGTTCTACACTGTCTTATCTCCCGTGTTTACACCTGTTCTACCCTGTCTTATTTCCTGTGTTTACTCCTGTTCTACCATGTCTTATCTCTCGTGTTTACATCTGTTCTACCATGTCTCATCTCCTGTGTTTACTCCTGTTCTACCATGTCTTATATCCTGTGTTTACACCTGTTCTACCATGTCTTATCTCCCGTGTTTTCTCCTGTTCTACCTGTCTTTAACTCCCGTGTTAACTCCTGTTCTACCATGTTTTATCTCCTGTGTTTACTCCTGTTCTACCCTGTCTTATCTCCTTAGTTTACTCCTGAAGGAGTTTTTCTTGCCTCGTCAATCCGTCTGCAGTAGAGAGATGACAAATCAGGATTGGCCTTTAACGTCAACGCTAACATGGAACTTTAATTACTGTGTTAGTCAAGTAATGAATCCGCCAGTTCAGGGCCATGTTACAATATGCCATCAGATTTCAATGTAAAAACTATTACGTCAACATAACGTCATCTCAGTCAAATTATCATGATAACGAGTTACCAGTTCTTACTCTTAAAGCCAAAAAAGAAAATACCAACTTGAAAATAATATGTATATAACAAAATATGAACAAAAGACGGATTTATATGGCGACTCCTGTAAAAGCATAAGGAGAATAAGACCAGGTGTTCCGGAAGGATAAGCGTATTATGCTTCATCGACTACAGGGATACCGTCTTTAAATGGCTATAGCTGTTGATGGGACGTTAGGCAACATGATATACTACCAAACCGAAGCCTTCTTCATGTTATTCTATATATAGTCTCTCTGGGTAATTAATATGTAGTAATCGGGTCTGCCTACAGTATTGTAGTATGTTCTATTCACGAGACTGCACAAATAGCATGTGTGACTTATAATGAAATTGCGTGATTTAAGATTTTGAATTAGTCATTACCATGATTTTTTTCCTCAGATGAAGAAGAGAAAGTCCTGATGAGTGGAACATACAACTTCAACAATGACAATGGTGTAGTTGAATCTCAGCCTACAAGTATGGCTCCGCTTGTAGTCAAAGATCGAGAGCAATCACCAGCCGCCTCGCAGACGACACGATCTGAACCTGGCGGCAAACAAGTTGGACCTTCTCCATCCTCTGTCCCTTTTGACGATGCACACTGTGAGAGGAACTGGACGCAAACTCTCTTCTCCTGTCAGTCAGAGGACCGAAACCGTAAGATTGTTTTGTACACTAATAAAGTCACCAGAAACGGTTTTGAAAACTTTTCAGCTAGTGTTTTATAAATCAAATTTGCCTTTTCTTACATTTTTTTCCCTTTCGTACCATTTCGTTCTGAGAACAAAATCGATTTTTACAGCAATATATTAAATAGACATAAAAAGGGGTTTCCAGTTTCTAGATCCTAGTTCCGCTTTTCTTTATATATGAACAAAAGAATGTTTTATTGGAGGACTCATGAAAAAGTACAAGGAGAAATAGACTAGGTGTTTCGTTAGGGTACGCGTTTTCTGTTCCATTGTAGGAGGGAAGTAATATTATCTTATGCCGAGGATCAACTATAATATGAGTATTAGGTAAACATGGCGCTTATATCTACCGTTATTTTTCAGGCTGTAGTCTATGCTGTTGCTGGCCGTATCACAAATACATGGTAGCTACCAGACTTGGCGAGACGCCGTTCATGGCCCTAATACCATGTGCTGTCTTCGCCCTCAGAATCAAAGTTAGGACACTGTTTGGTATCAAGGTATGTACTATTTACAACAGATTGTGATTCATGCGGGTTTTATTGAAAAAGATAGATAAATAAAGAAACAAGTAAACCCTCATATCGTGTTTTATATAAAACACGCTGGTTAGAATATATGAAAATTAAGAGAGAAAAAAAAACCAAAAAAACAATATATATGAAATATAAATAAAACGTTCTTTATTGCGTAAATTGAATATTGTATGTACAGTGTTGCGATATGTTACAAATGCTGTAAATATCCATTAAACTCCAAACAACCATTATGTTGGTGATATTCTTTGTTCTGTACGTAAACGATATGTAGTTTGTTTCACATTCATTATTTACTCTTTAATACAAAACATCAATTCGTTTTTTTTATTTTTGCGATTCTCACCTCACTTTCTATTCCCGAAGCCTTGTCGGTGTATGTGCCATATCCCGAGATATAAAATCACATTCACTAAGTGGTATCTCACGGATGATAAGATTTTCGATACAAGTTTTATATCTAATAAAACGAAAAGACGATAAAACGAAACGCGATGCTGCGAATCACTACAACTAAGTGGCTTCGTTTTTGGACTGACTTGAATACCAGTCCAGTTTAACAAATGTAGGTTTTCCTATCGCTATAACTAGTTAAATTGGTATCTTTAAACTTTAATATCTGTTTGGATATTTTTCAATATTTAAAAAAGCGAAATCTTCAGACTTCTAAGCGATAATTGAGTGATCTTTTGGTAAACTTTGAACTGTTTTTCCGTTCTAAGATTAATTCCATCGTGGTTTATTTGTAATACATATATAAAGTATATAAGCTTGAATTTGTCTTGCATGATAGTATATATGTCAGTATTTGTAATGCCTGTAATGCTTACAGACATTATTACAGCAAATACTTTTAGGCACTACCTTTATATCTTACTATATATATACATTATTGTCATCCTTTGAAATAGCGGACAGCTCTTTAGTTTAAGTAAAGGAACTGACCTTCACGGTCCGAAATGATTCGTGGTCTCTCTGAATAACGGACCTCTGCCGTTGGTGACTCGGTGTGAGTTATCTCCCATTTATCGGTTTTTATACCTGACGCATTCTGGGCTATCGTCACGTCAGTTCGAAATGACTTAGTGTCGAGCTAAGAGACAATTCCTTATTTAAAATTAATGTTTTCAAACGACATGTACCGTGGTAGTATCATGGTACAGTTCTTCACTGAATTATATAACATCAGTAGTTTTTTATGATAGCATTGATTAACTAAGTTAGGTCATGTTATCGGCAAGAAACATAGAAAAATACTTACTGTTCGGAAGTAATGTCTAACTTACGGGTGAACAGCGACATCCAAAACATATCAGTAGGTACACGGAGGCCAGTTTTACAGCTTCTAAATATATGATTGTTGTTTGTTTGTCTCTATGCTGTATATACTACCGCTGGTTTGCAGCGGTTTCTCTTATATACGCTGCTGATGTTTGGTGTAGCTCACTATTACATATTATACTGCTGTTGTATATCTCACTATTACATATACTGCTGTTGTATATCTCACTATTACATATACTGCTGTTGTATATCTCACTATTACATATACTGCTGTTGTATATCTCACTATTACATATACTGCTGTTGTATATCTCACTATTACACATACTGCTGTTGTGTATATCTCACTATTACATATACTGCTGTTGTATATCTCACTATTACACATACTGCTGTTGTGTATATCTCACTATTACATATACTGCTGTTGTATATCTCACTATTACATATACGGCTGTTGAATATCTCACTATTACATATAGTGCTGTTTTTGTGTATATCTCACTATTACATATACTGCTGTTGTATATATCACTATTACATATACTGCTGTTGTTGTGTATATCTCACTATTACATATACTGCTGTTGTATATCTCACTATTACACATACTGCTGTTGTATATCTCACTATTACACATACTGCTGTTGTATATCTCACTATTACATATACTGCTGTTGTATATCTCACTATTACACATACTGCTGTTGTATATCTCACTATTACACATACTGCTGTTGTATATCTCACTATTACATATACTGCTGTTGTATATCTCACTATTACACATACTGCTGTTGTATATCTCATTATTACATATACTGCTGTTATTGTGTATATTTCACTATTACATATACTGCTGTTGTATATCTCACTATTACACATACTGCTGTTTTTGTGTATATCTCACTATTACATATACTGCTGTTGTATATCTCACTATTACATATACTGCTGTTGTATATCTCACTATTACATATACTGCTGTTGTTGTGTATATCTCACTATTACATATACTGCTGTTGTATATCTCACTATTACACATACTGCTGTTGTTGTGTATATCTCACTATTACATATACTGCTGTTGTATATCTCACTATTACACATACTGCTGTTGTATATCTCACTATTACATATACTGCTGTTATTGTGTATATTTCACTATTACATATACTGCTGTTGTATATCTCACTATTACACATACTGCTGTTGTATATCTCACTGTTACATATACTGCTGTTGTATATCTCACTATTACATATACTGCTGTTGTATATCACTATTACATATACTGTTGTATATTACTATTACACATACTGCTGTTGTATATCTCACTATTACACATACTGCTGTTGTATATCTCACTATTACATATACTGCTGTTGTATATCTCACTATTACATATACTGCTGTTGTATATCTCACTATTACATATACTGCTGTTGTTGTGTATATCTCACTATTACATATACTGCTGTTGTATATCTAACTATTACATATACTGCTGTTGTTGTGTATATCTCACTATTACATATACTGCTGTTGTATATCTCACTATTACACATACTGCTGTTGTATATCTCACTGTTACATATACTGCTGTTGTATATCTCACTATTACATATACTGCTGTTGTATATCTCACTATTACACATACTGCTGTTGTATATCTCACTATTACACATACTGCTGTTGTATATCTCACTATTACATATACTGCTGTTGTATATCTCACTATTACATATACTGCTGTTGTTGTGTATATCTCACTATTACATATACTGCTGTTGTATATCTCACTATTACATATACTGCTGTTGTTGTGTATATCTCACTATTACATATACTGCTGTTGTTGTGTATATCTCACTATTACATATACTGCTGTTGTTTTGTATATCTCACTATTACACATACTGCTGTTGTATATCTCACTATTACACATACTGCTGTTGTATATCTCACTATTACATATACTGCTGTTGTATATCTCACTATTACATATACTGCTGTTGTTGTGTATATCTCACTATTACATATACTGCTGTTGTACTGCTGTTGTATATCTCACTATTACATATACTGCTGTATATCTCACTATTTGTATATCTCACTAATACATATACTGCTGTTGTATATCTCACTATTACATATACTGCTGTTGTTGTGTATATCTCACTATTACACATACTGCTGTTGTTGATCTCACTATTACATATACTGCTGTTGTTGTGTATATCTCACTATTACATATACTGCTGTTGTATATCTCACTATTACACATACTGCTGTTGTATATCTCACTGTTACATATACTGCTGTTGTATATCTCACTATTACATATACTGCTGTTGTATATCTCACTATTACACATACTGCTGTTGTTGTGTATATCTCACTATTACATATACTGCTGTTGTATATCTCACTATTACATATACTGCTGTTGTTGTGTATATCTCACTATTACACATACTGCTGTTGTATATCTCACTATTACACATACTGCTGTTGTTGTGTATATCTCACTATTACACATACTGCTGTTGTATATCTCACTATTACATATACTGCTGTTGTATATCTCACTATTACATATACTGCTGTTGTTGTGTATATCTCACTATTACATATACTGCTGTTGTTGTGTATATCTCACTATTACACATACTGCTGTTGTATATCTAACTATTACATATACTGCTGTTGTTGTGTATATCTCACTATTACACATACTGCTGTTGTATATCTCACTATTACACATACTGCTATCTCACTATTACACATACTGCTGTTGTTGTGTATATCTCACTATTACATATACTGCTGTTGTATATCTCACTGTTACATATACTGCTGTTGTATATCTCACTATTACACATACTGGTGTTGTATATCTCACTATTACACATACTGCTGTTGTATATCTCACTATTACACATACTGCTGTTGTATATCTCACTATTACATATACTGCTGTTGTATATATCTCACTATTACATATACTGCTGTTGTATATCTCACTATTACATATACTGCTGTTGTATATATCACTATTACATATACTGCTATTACACATACTGCTGTTGTATATCTCACTATTACATATACTGCTGTTGTATATCTCACTATTACACATACTGCTGTTGTATATCTCACTATTACATATACTGCTGTTGTATATCTCACTATTACATATACTGCTGTTGTATATCTCACTATTACATATACTGCTGTTGTATATCTCACTATTACATATACTGCTGTTGTTTGTATATCTCACTATTACATTATACTGCTGTTGTTGTATATCTCACTATTACATATACTGCTGTTGTATATCTCACTATTACATATACTGCTGTTGTATATCTCACTATTACATATACTGCTCACTATTACATATACTGCTGTTGTTGTGTATATCTCACTATTACATATACTGCTGTATATCTGTTGTATATCTCACTATTACATATACTGCTGTTGTATATCTCACTATTACATATACTGCTGTTGTATATCTCACTATTACATATACTGCTATATCTCACTATTATACTGCTGTTGTATATCTCACTGTTACATATACTGCTGTTGTATATCTCACTATTACATATACTGCTGTTGTATATCTCACTATTACATATACTGCTGTTGTTGTGTATATCTCACTATTACATATACTGCTGTTGTATATCTCACTATTACATATACTGCTGTTGTATATCTCACTATTACATATACTGCTGTTGTATATCTCACTATTACACATACTGCTGTTGTATATCTCACTATTACATATACTGCTGTTGTATATCTCACTATTACATATACTGCTGTTGTATATCTCACTATTACACATACTGCTGTTGTATATATACTGCTGTTGTATATCTCACTATTACATTATACTGCTGTTGTATATCTCACTATTACATATACTGCTGTTGTATATCTCACTATTACATATACTGCTGTTGTATATCTCACTATTCACTATTACATATACTGCTGTATATCTCACTATTACATATTGTATATCTCATCTCACTATTACACATACTGCTGTTGTATATCTCACTATTACATATACTGCTGTTGTATATCTCACTATTACATATACTGCTGTTGTATATCTCACTATTACACATACTGCTGTTGTATATCTCACTATTACATATACTGCTGTTGTATATCTCACTATTACATATACTGCCTTTGTTTTGTATAGTTCAATATGACTTATAGTGCCGTTGTTTTGCAGACTTCAATGTTATTTTGCCACTGTTTTTCAGGGCTCTCTTCTAGGGGATTTCTGGGCTTCTATGTGCTGTGAACCATGTGCTGTGTGTCAGATGACTTCTGAATTGGACTCTCTCGGGCTTTAAGGATATCCCTAATAATAACTAGTACATGTATAACTATCATAACTTAGCATTATTATACTGAGTGAGTGCCTTTACTGAAAACTAACTTATTACACTTCACTATTGTTAAATCAGAAACAGATATTATTTGAGCTTTGTACACATAAATGAACGAGTGATGTTCTGCTTTTCTGTTTCTGTCAGATTTTATAGATATTATGTACAAACGCTTAAAATGCAGTATTCTTATCCAATCTGTGTGCGAGAATGTGTCACGTGTTAAATTAATGAATCAATTTTTAAGTCTTTGTCAGTAGAAGAGTATGTATAAATTGTAAAAGAGGCAGTAATTTTATGTTTAAATGTTGTCTAGGATTAAAAATGACGTAAGCTGTATGTTTAATCACTACGTATTTAACATGTGTGTCATGTGTTGGAAATTAGATGTAAGTAGTAACAAAGCTCAAGTAAATATCTTAGTACATTTTATTTATTTATTTTATCATATTCGTACCATAAAGATGTATTATGACAATTAAATGGATATGTATCATCGTAGTATGTATGATATATAATGCAGTTATAGATATGATGTAAAGAAAAAAAAAATGTCGACATGATGATTTAATTTAAAATCGATTGAACGAGGGTAAAATATGAGTTATAGAAAGATTTACATAGAAGCACTTGAAAGATACGAGGGAAATAAGACCAGGTGTTCCGGAATGTGGGGAATACATTTATCATGTGAAATAGCCCGTAGTAGGCCCTTTCTTCTTGATTTTGCTTTTACCATGCACAAAGTATCCTTCAACCCGGTGATCTATAATTACAAACCATTACATACAATATATTTTTGTTAAATTCCTTGAGCGATGTCTCTTAGACAAGCATATTATCATTGTATTTCTGCGTTCATATGAAAAGTGACCAGGTGTAAACAACTTATGTTGTATAATTGTATTTTCATATTCATTGCTATTTTGAAAATTTGTAATAAGACAAATAACTGTTGTATCATGCCTGCTCTGTTGACTTTGGGAATGCTTATATAACAAAGTAAAATAATCTAGACAGGAGGAACTATCAAATGATACTGATGCTGTTTAATCAACACAAAGTTCCATGCTTGTAAACTGGAAACAGTTTTTAATATCCGATTGACAAAAGGGACGCAAATGAGTAAATGACCAGTGGATATAATCCAAATAATTCAAAAATAGCAAAACAGCTGGGCTTCATTATTTTTTTAATTCGTATTTTCTATTACTGATACCTGCAAGGGTGTATATATGTGTGTGTTGTATAATTATAGTGGTTACTTCATTGAAAAATAAGTATTTTCAAATACAATATCGTGATTAAAAATACGAGATACATACACTGTACATTACTACAGTTAATTAAGTGTGAATTCATTAAAACCAGTGTCAAACATCATCCCCCACATCTTACGATCACAAATGAATTTAATAAAACTTTAAGAAACTGGCATTAGCGTTACCTAGTCGACTTTGTTCCCATACATATAAAACACCTGATACTAACTCATCATTTCCAACGGTGATGCTACATACCCTGATTACATTATGATATACAATAAATTAATTATAATCACGAATTCATTTTTTATGATTGGAAATGTTATTTAAATTATATGCAGTATCGTATGAAATGTAGACATGGACAGTAGACACGTTTGTCTCCTTATTGTAAGACAAACGTAAGTTATCATTTAAAGTAGAACCTGTTGCTATCTTACGATTTCAATGCCATTTAAATTTGAAGTATTTATATATCGAAAAATCCTATTGATCTCGTGAGATATTGGCCGCAAGAAATTAACATAGTGTGGCATCTCATACTTATGAAATATGCGCAAGCAGGGAGGAAATGAGAAGTATGTGTTCTTCCAACAAAGAAATCCATAGATTATGTAATATTAAGCCTATTGAGTGTAATCAGGTATTATTTGATTAATCACGTTGTTGATATATGGCAATTATCAATTTGTTATAATAATATTGCGTTCAGCAATTCCATAACGCTACTCTGACCAGCAACACTTATAACTATTACCACGAACTGTTCATAACAAAATATACACATGTATCAGGCGGTCTTTTGAAATCATTGAGAATTGAAAATGGCTGAATATATTATATCAATATAGGTGAGTGCACTGCACTATCTATCCTTTATTTTGAGAAAAGTCGATCGCGATTGAATGAATTCGACGTAAACAGTTAGGACTAAATCTAGATTTATTTTGACGGATTCAACAAATGCATTGAGGACTCGGCCTGGATTTAATTGATTGGATTCAACAAAGGTAGTTAGAACTCGACCTGGATTTAATTGAGTAGATTCAACATAAGCAGTAAGTACTCGACCTGGATTTAATTTAGTAGATTCAACATAGGTAGTTAGGACTCAGTCTAGATTTAAGAGCTGTTACGGTTATATACAGAGGTAAATGATATGTTTAGAATAACGTTCTATACATAGAATTTACATCAAAATTTAATTTATGATATCAGATATATGTAATTTGATAATAAAATGAGCTATCGTCCAACAGAATGTAGGTTGACAGTGACTTCACACGGATACCATACACCTTACCTAACGCTACGTGCACCAGATGGTACAAAATGTTTAAGATCACAGGTGATACACACAGCTGGCGAAGTATTAGTCTCCGGGTTTGCCGTAACACGCTATATTTTACTTCCTTCAAATAGTGGCACGGTTCAGTATATACATGTACACATTTACTTGGCGTTATCCTTAGATAAACAGATATATGAAAAGTGGATCTAGTGCACCTCCCCATATACATTTTGATATTTATTTTGATAACACTGGAGTTTCTTCAATCGCCTCCCGGGTTTAAAATTTAAGCTTATATCATCACTGACGAGTCCTGAGAGGACGAAACAGCGGTATGAAGCGATTTAACTCATTGTTTGGCTCTGCTTATCCGAATTGGTATTAAATTGTGCTGTTCACCTAAGTGTCCTTTGTTCAATCTTGACGCTTGTATCGATTGAACATAGGCAAATTTGTAGAATTTGTGAACGACACATACCACTATGCACTTATAACTAAACGCACATTGTTATCTCCATTTCTCCTCAAACACACTTATAACAATTCTTTCCAAAAGAAGAGTTTATTGTACAACTTTTTTCAGAGAACACAGCCGTAAACCATGCTACATATGCTAGGCTATCAATCAGAAATTAGGCGTTTATTTCAGTTACGACAATACCACTGACTGAGCTGATGCTCTGAAAAACGTTATTTTAGAATTCGTGGTGATATATACTCTATATTATTGAGGAATAAAATTATGGTTACATATGCATAATTGTCCTCGTTTTACTACATAACTCACTAATCCCGGTACACTCAGTTCAAATGTTTCATTAAATCTAATGGGAATTTGGCAACAGGCGATAACAAACATATTACAGACAGGTTACATACAAAATAGATAGGAATGGAAGAGTTGTGCGCCTTTAGCAAAGCTTGCAAATGAATAATAAATATTTTAAAAGAATGAGAGACTTTACTCCCGTTAACAAACCCCACCCTTCTTTATCTTTTCTAACCGTTCTCGTACTTTTTAAGGGATATTCTCTATGATTGTCCTTATTTTACCTATTTTCACTTTGAAAACGACGGCAGGTTGATGAATCATTTGTTTAATTTATAGGGGGTATTTTTTCTGAATCTGTATACTGAATAACTTCAGATATCTTCTGGGTTGATGTTGTTCACTTGTGTTTATAAGCCAATTTTTTCTGTTCTGGAATTCGGTTTTTATTATCATAAGCATGTTCGGTTTGTTCTTGAACTTAAACATGAAAGTCAAATAATTTCGTTGACATATAAAACGGTCAAACATCTTCTATCACCCGTTTCATAAAATCTATGAATTGGAAACTCGTTTTAGATAATATATTTATCTGTGTGACGGTCGTCCCTACCACTTAAGGAACCAATCCTAGTTTTATGTGCTCTAAGTTTATCTGAATCATGTAACATCTATCTGTTTCTTTATTACCTTTGTTATTTAAGATTTTCACCTAAATAAGGTTATTGAGGAAGGTGTTATCACCATAAAAAATAATGCCGTTTATCGTAGATGTAGAGAGACTAGATATCCATTGATACAGTCTCTATATGATTACAGCAGGTAAGACACAAGTCAATACACCAGACAAAACATTCATGTTTTTTTAAAATTCTACGGTTGGATGACTTTTTCATAATCTGCTGAATAGAAAATACATGTAACTAAATCGACGATGCGACTATCTGGTTTCGTCAAGAAATGATGACTAACGCTTCTGTCATCTGAATAAAAATAACAATAAACAAAACGCTGAATAATTCTGAAAATTGTAATGATTTCCATCTACAGAAATATATAGATATATGTAAAGCACTTTGTAACATCAGAAAATGACAAATTATCTGTAAAAAAACTGAAGACCTTTCTTTTTTTCATAAGAAATACCCGCTTTTCTCCCGTGACGATTTCTTACCATTTTAGAGACATTCTCAAAGTGAAGCACCAATAAGGTCATTCCAAAGACCAGTTATTGACTATATCAGCCAATAGGTATCTGTAATTGGTTGAATTGAATCAATAACGGTTCTCAAAAAGACTACATTGATAATTTATCTATCACACGTGGTTATATCCAGTATTCCTGTCGAGATCTTCTATAGCTTAATTAAGCCGAGAATTCTTTTGTATGTTTAGCATAAGGCAACATATTTTATAAAAACGAAAAGAAAAATCTTTTGGAAACCAACACACGATTTTGAAATAGGTTATGTCATTCAGCTACATTACAACTATGTAAAAATAGACATGCACATAAAAATCTATGTATTTGATAAACCGGTACCACAAAAGAATATGTGTTCTTAAATTCCTTGTTATACATATTAAGTGATATTCCAAAGTCGATCGTCTATAAACTGTTGACTTCACAAGTGTTCCGCCACGACTAGCGTCTTAGTGGGACTGTCATCAATATCATTCTCCCATGACGGTGAAGATTCATTCCTAAATGCCTAAGATGATTATGAGATTTTGAACACTTACCTTGAGAAACACATTTCTTCTATTGAAGACGTACATTAAAGACTTCACACAAACTTTTAAATCATGTTTATGATAGCGACCTTTCGCTATGTATACCAGCTTCTGATGATAAAGACTGGGGTTCGGTTTATCAAACGTGATTCGCATCAAGGAGTAAATTGTCAGGAAATCGTAATTAACTCTGAAAAAAGCTTCAGATGACCCCAAGCAGATAATGTAAACAAAACTGATGAGACATGTTTCCAAAACTGAATATGTTAATTTGATTTTCCATACCAGAACCTTTAGAAGCTTAATAAAACTAAATCTTGACATTTTTATGAAGTGATGCACATGTCATTTTTCCCACGTTAAATAGTTCATAAAAATCAATCAGTGAATCATGCTACCAGAATTTATAACAGATAGCTGTCTTCTAATGTTTGTGACAGATGTATTACTTTGACACTCGTTTACAATGTTTTATGAACTGAGAGAAATAGTCACAGATAAAAGTATGGGAATGTAATATTTGCAAATCAGTTGACCGTGGAACAATAATCAGCTGCTTGTCAGAAAAAAGGTATTCATTGACATCCACATCTGTATAATTATCCGAGGTGCTTCTACTAAAGATGTGCTATATGAACGTACGCTGTAACATATTTTTAGGAAAAACCTGCATTTTAACCAATAATCAATTTTTTTCTCTTCATCGAATAACTGTGGAATTTGTCAAAATATTATTGTCACTATGACATAATTATTATAGAACAAGATGACAGGTAGTAACCATCTCCTGATAAGTTATTACCCTATAATCTTTCATTCTAAATCATCATTAATTCAGAAATACATCAATTAAAATCATAATCGTCCATATCAGGCAATAAAAATCTACCTAGAACTTAACCTAACGAAGCCTCACCTCTAGTATAGTCCTCGTGGTTCCTTCCCCTATAGTTCTACTAATTCATTATCACCTAGCCCCGCTTCGTCAGTCCTCATCTAAGCTACAACCATAGTCATTTCAAATTCAACATCGATTTATGTCGCAATCTACATCGTTTACCAAACAAGTGACTTTCTTCCATGTTTGTTTTTTTATGTCATTAATATCTTAATCACAAGAAGAAAATACCAACATGTTAACTTAAACATAAACCAAACTCGAATTCAATGAAAATTAGGCAATGGAAATTGGGAAGAAAAACATAGCATCTTCAGCTTCATTGACGATATCCACCAATCTTGGTCATTCCAAGTATGTTATGACCCAAAGGAGAACAAAGTATACAACAACAGAACCAACAGGTAAACTAACCAAACATCAAATACGTCCAGCGTTATATCGCGCAGAGTAACAGATAATTTCTCAGTGAGATCGCTATCGTAAAATCATCATTTCATCAATCTGTATCTTATGAAACTTTGTGCTACGAGTTTGTCCATCAGTTGACGACATCTTGTACGAAAATCGTGATAATGGCACCAGGCCTTTGAATATCGAATTAATTGCGACATGTAAACACCGAATAAAGAATAGAAAATTCAAATTAGGGCAATTAAATTTATAACGTTTATGATGCAGCTTGGTGGATAGCTGTCCACGATTGTTTCGTTGTAGGAAAAGATCGAGATAAGTTGCTGAGGTAGAAGAGTGTACCGTGTCTTGGATTTTCCTATTCTGATAAGTATATACGATGAGCGTGGTTATTAAATTTCTTCTAATTGAAATGCAAACGTCATCAATATAACTGAAAGTGAAATCAAACGAATGTGCAAAGTTTTTGTGACCTATTTTGTAAGCTCGTCGATAAATTCAGCCTGTTATGAAAACAAAACCAAGTCACCCAACTGAATGGTTGATTAAGTTTCCGTAGGTATGTCAATAGTCTGTTGGAAGAGTATTGATTCATAAATTACTTGAGCGTTAGTTGTCTCTACAAAGTAGAAATAATTCATGCGTTAAAAGTTAATCATTCGTATGTGCCGTTAGATGAAGCTATTGTTGAGAATGGAATTACAGCCTATGGATTAAGTAGGTCATAGTATGTCGCGTTCGTCTACAAAATTATCGTATTCGTCTAAACTTTAAAAAAAAATACCGTACAATGAAGTTGAAACGTTTGAAAGCTTAAACAATGACTTCCGTGAAAACATTAACATAAATTAACATGTAATGCGAGATAAAACGCTTAAGTTGTCTCTTTAACAAATCCGTTTTTATTTCAATTCCATGTGTTATCAATATGCATAAGAAATGATACGGTAATTTAAATGATATTTAAATGTATTTTAAAAATATATTGTTGATAAAAAAGCAGAAACATTGTGATAATAAAATCTGAATATAGCTGTGACACACAGTTAAGATGCGCCGAAAGTATTGACCATTATCTATTAGACATAATATGTAGAAATATCAAACCAACAAAATTGAGCAGGTTTTCATGCTAAAGAGTCGCCTTAGTTATTTCCATAATATAACAGCCTATCACGATTATTACAACTTTTCTGTTTTGATTTAAGGCTGTAAATAGACATTAACAGCTAAAATACACACTTAGCCACAACGGGGTATGTGCTCTTGTATGTAAGCCTGGTAAGCTTTCACATACGTAGTTTGTGCTTTTATAGCCTGGTAAGCTTACACAGACGGGGTATGTGAAAATTACAACTTTACAATACAATATCTCATCGTCACTTTAACTGTTAAAATATATAACTGCAATCTACTGCAATCAACTTTTTTTGTGTGTGTCAAGATAAAACGACTAGCAGTACTCCAATGCAGGATACCAGTTGTAGATCAACACAAAGCCATGTCAATCCAGACTCACGATCTTACATAGCTCTCTAAGCAAATAATCTTATAAGGTGACTGGATAGTAATAAGGTGTATATTCACTGATCTGAAACGTAACAGAAGATATACCCAATCATTTCTAAAATTGCCTCTCGCCAATTTAGTTATCCCTTTTTAAAGGTACCTCGTTTCTCACCTGTTCAAATCACTTTATACCGTTTTTACCTGTTGGCTTTACCTGTGCTGGTAGCCCGTCCTCCACCTGTTGTGGTGGAAATACGAGTTGAAGTGAACGCGGCAGGTGATAGGGATACCGTTGAGAGACTGGGGCTAAAACAACATGTGTGAAGCGTAGAGTTCAAAACAAAATATGAGGGATGCTTGCCATCTGACAACTGCAGAGATTTAAACGTCATTAACAAATCTTTCCATGCATTATCCGAAAGGTACAGATTTGTATGAGGCATTCGTTAATAATAAATAAACTGTGATACAGAAAAGCAGCTCAGTAACGATATGTACCTCAGTGAGACTACTTATAACGGTTAACCTAGTATTTCTCATTTATTATTAATATACTTTGACTGTATTATCATTGTATCGAGATATATATTATTAATTAATCGATATGGAAGAGGAACAGCTGAATCAGGAGTATAAAATTCCGTTAAAGGTGAGTTGTTCAATATTAATTATTTATTGTCAATATATAAAATTCCGTTAAAGGTGAGTTGTTCAATATTAATTATTTATTGTCAATATATAAAATTCCGTTTGAGGTGAGGTCTTTATTATGAATTATTGTCGCTAATCGTTTTTTTCTCTCTATATATATCATCTTGCAAAGCAAATACTGTACTTCCTTTGCGTCTGGTGAATATTAGTTAGATTCAACGTAATAATGATACTTATCAATTAACAGCGAATATAAAAGCAAATAAGAAGTGTTATGCGTATCTATGGTAATTGGTGAAAAATGTAAACTGACACTTTTGGTTAATTTTAAATCACAAGTAGTAATCTTATCCATAATTTTCTGACACCTGGATGTTTTCCGCATTTAACGACTACAAACATGTGTCTGAAATGAAAATAGATAATTCGTAATTACAAAGCTAGAGGTAAGTTGTCTGTATATATGTATTCAGTTCATGAAACAATATCTTCTATACCTTACAAATGGCGGGGGTGGTTCACTCTGACAGTGATCATCGAGATTTTTACATTAAGCTATTGTAAATTACATAAAACACATAATTTTGGTCTTTCGTGTTTCGATACTAAAACGTATCGGATGATGACGGGTCAAAACGATTTGAAAAAGACAAATGACAACAAGATGATAGAGATAACAATATCTTTGTAAACATAAATAAAATATACAATGATGTGGATGTGCTTGTTAATCAGAATTCTAATATTGAATTTTTGTTTTGTTTTTGATAATCGTAATTACAATTCATATACTCGCAATAATTTTCATTTAACAAAATAAACAGACGTGATAAAAACGCTATCAAAATTCAATATTGGAATAGGATTTCGCTCACAGGCGTTTTTTTATATTTTTTCCGGTAAGTGATCTTTTACCTGTTAAACACTGAAATAGACTGCATTTCTATGTTATCATTAGCATTAGAAGGGTTGACTGCAATATTGATTCGCGTATCCTAGTTTTCTAGGATTATGAAATGGAAACTCGAGTAATTCTAATAGGAAAATTCTTCCACTGTTACATTTATAGTTGTGTGATATCACATCACCTTAACCTTTAAGAGTTAGCGTATACGTTTTGATAGTCATTGATACAAGTAAAATAAATTAATATCAGAAGAATGAGATAGTCTATGTGTAAAGACGAAGACCTTTTCCCACAATTTAACAATTTACTCATCAGAATAAAATCACAAAAAGTAAATATATCTCGGGGAAAAAAACCATTGTGTCCTTACACTTAACATTAGTGTTAAACTGGATTCCTTCAAAGTTGCCACATTAAAATCATTCAGTCATGGGAGAACCTCAGCCGAATAATCTACGCTTCAATGCCACGTGACAATACACAGGGACGTCTTCGAACACACAGAATAGGGATGGAGCGATAAAAGTAAATAACATATATATAAATACGTCCTGTGAATGTAATTAGTTTAAACTCCCCCGCGCGCCCATATAAACCTAATTTTAAAAGTTCCCACAACAGGCTTGATGTTAGAAGCACTGAAAGGTTCAGTCTTTATACTGTACCGAGTGATGAGCTAACAAAGGCTATTTTCTTACGTTTTAAATATGTTCTAGTTTATGCGATGTTGTTTGCCAAATAGCTAACTCACTCCTACAGGTAAATGTGAATAATTATCTTGTATTTTAAAGTTGCAATAATCGTCATATAAAGCTCTTATTTCTACTAAAAAATGATGACGCGAATGCAGATAAGTAATATATATATATAAATATATTATTAGCGTAATCGTTATACTAATCTGAACGATATTGATGTGAAACAGGTTAAAAAAGTAGTTTATACTTCTCCAAAATTCCATACAGCACAGCATCGTGTTACCTCATTTGTCTTACCGTGATCGTTTTGTTCAGGCGTGTTAGAAGGATCATTATGATCAAATCTAACGTTGTTTTGTAGGACTCTCCAGGGCCACAGACTTGTCCACAGTTTATCTACTCTGTTGATGACGGAACGCTTCCTTCCAACATGCGGACAGTGTTTTTGACGAAGGTGCAACTGACCAGGGAGTACCAAAGGTCACGTGTTTGTCTGGGCAATTGCTGTCGTCGACCTAAGGATACAGATGATAAGGAAAAGAGAAAGAAGAAATTGTGGCTAATGTGTGTCCTTGTTGTCGTTATAACATCACTTATTACCGCATTTGTCGTTTGGGAACTTCTCAATAAAGCATCTGAAAATCAGCCAATATACCAGGTCAGTTCACTCAGAAAAACTATGTTCTTCGTCTGTTTACAAGTGATTTTTGTTCATTCCAAAGGGTATTTTGGTAAAAACTATTAATATAGTTTCTAATATGAATAAAGTTTTGAAAATAACTTGTAACATCAGATATAGAATTTTAGTTAGTTAAGTAAACATACTAGTTACATTAACAGCTTACTATCTACAACAATCATATCAAGCAAACCTTTTGATCTTAATTTACTCTTGTCATTAATGAAGCTACTGTTGCCCTGTGTTATTGTGTTGTTAACTATTACAGTGGGATATGAAGGAAGATGAGGACGGTGTTCTAGATCACGAAGAACACGAATCCCGAGTATTAATTAGTAAAACCAAAGGTAAGGTTACACCTCTACATCCCTCCCTGGGTCCCCTGGCACATGTTTTATATTATTAGTTGTTTAGCATTTAGGAATTTAGAAATAAATTTGCAACTTTGTTGTATTGTGTGTTATGTTCGATTATTGATATTACTCAAGTCCATCATTTTATCAAATAAACTAAAAATCTAAATGAATTGGATAGTGGTGTAAACATTTGTACAATGTAAAATCTCTATCAATTCTTAGTATACAATGACAGTAACTGATTTCATGATAGTAGTGTAGACATTTGTACAATGTAAACTCTCTATCAATTCTTTGTATACAATGACAGTAACTGATTTCATAATAGTGGTGTAGACATTTGTACCATGTAAACTCTATCAATTCTTTGTATACAATGACAGTAACTGATTTCAGGATAGTGGTGTAGCGATTGTACAATGTAAACTCTTTTTCTTTTCTTTGTATACAATGACAGTAATTGATTTCAGACATTTTTGATACCATATAGTTGGTAATTTTCACTGGTTAAAGTTTCCGCAATTTTCGTTTAAAGCCATCGAATTATACGTTATCGAATCAAAATTTCCCCTCTGCATGTGAAAGGACATTTTACATACACGTGCCCCATTATTTCGCGCTCCATTTTCTCGACCATGTTATTGTACATGGAAAATATCATCCCCGCAAAAATATGCGGTTGTACGGTATATCGTATAAAAAGCCATCACAGAAATTACTGTGACTTATTCATCCATGTCATTTATTCATTCTATCTATCAAAGAAAGAACAGATTCACAGTTTGGTCTTATCAATAATGAAAGATTGGGACAGCAAAGGTTGTAATAGGTCATTAGCAGGTCACAATATCATGATGGATAATTTCCAAGTGAATGTAGAAAGAAACACTTTTAGATTATAAGTTATATTTTAAATAAATTTTACATGTTATGGACTATTAACAGACAAATATTACTGAAACAGTATAAATATAAACTACTATAAAGATATGTCTAGAAAAAAATAATGAAAATGTTGTCGTACATGTTTCATGATAAGTTGAAATCAGGGAGAAATGTTTACTGGTGTGTTTTTTTTTTGAGAGAGAAAATTTTTTGTGATCGCATGACAAACGGTTGTTCTAATAGGCCCGTGTGCTCTCATTCATGAAGACTTTTGGGAGATAACTTAAAATCTAATGGACATTAGTTATGGTATTAAACCCATTCATATTTTATTTTTCTAATTACAGCAATTGTGGACAAAAGAGCTTTCCAACGGACTCCATGTCGCAAAATCTGCTGGGATTTCTCTGCTTTTAAGTTCAGATCGACATGCATGAATGGGTTTTGTAGATGTGAAGGTCATGGCTACAACTCCGACACATGTTTACGTAAGTATTTCTTATTATAAAGCAGTGAAACCTACTGAAGCGAAACGGACCATTATGTCATTTTCGTGTTAAAGTGATTTAACATTCACAGATTTGCAGATACTCTCCCCGTTCATTCTTATTTTTAGTATATTGATTTGTTTAGAAATTTGTAGAAATCCAAACAATGAGTCATTTCAAAACTGCTACCCGTTAATATCACTGCAAATGATATAACATGGTTAATTCAGACTACTAGATGGCATTGTATTACTACTGGAAATACAAGTCGACAAACAGCAATATAATTATGTTTCAGAATATTTGCCTTAGATAACAGAGGTACTTATAACATAACCACTATAAGATTTGATTGTGACGTTTCCATGAAAGGTCATTTTCATCCGACTGATAAAGGTGACCGCGTAATCATTAAAACCTCACACTCAAATCTTTTACTGGTTGTGTTATAACAACTTCTATTCTATAGCTATTAATTATGGTCACTACTTGCAAGTCTTTATTTAAGCATATTTTATCCATTAAATCGACATTAACGTACCCATTGAATAAGAAAACATTCTTTAAAAATTTCATTAATTTCTGTTTTATCCAGGTCATTCGGTATGTATCTGTTAAGATGTTGTAGTTACTGACATTTTTGTTCCGTTTGTTTACAGTACAAGGTCTAATAAAATAATATTGAAGTCAACATTTTTCAAATAAATATACCAAAGTATTAGAATATGACATTACCTTTTTCTTCTTCAGCGGATGTTGACGGATGTGTAATGCAGTCTGAGGAGGTCCTATATGCAGATGCTTCTATAAATGGCAAGAGCGTATCAAATTATAATTGTAAGCAGAGAAGTTCCGAAGGAAACGCTATTCACGTGTTCAGTGTATTCGGATTGGGAGATTTCTCGGCAACTACTATTGATTTAAAAGGAACTAATACCGATGATGATATCACTATAATCCTGGCCAGCTATCAGAAGATGAACTGGATTGTTCGAGTAGACGAGGGTGTTCGTATAGGTAAAATTATTATGGTAAGTATCACTAATTTATTATTTCTTTATTCTTTTGTTTTAATAAACGTGTTGTATAATTTCGATCACGTCAGTGAGTCGTCCAGATTTATATAGAAGATTAATTCCTAGATGGCTGGTAGTAGTTTTGAGAAGACAGTTTAAACATTTTGACGGTGATAGGCTGTTTTTACTTGATCCATATACGTTATTATGATATTATAGGATGTAAAATTGCATAATAAAAGCATTTTATTGTTTCTATTACCAGGCCGACAATAAAACCCCGTTAGTATAACATTCTGCATGACATACATGACACGTTGTGTGATATAAATACTGTAAAACCAGTAATTTTCGTGGAGATATCATCTTCGGTGATTTCGTGGGTACCTTTAAACTGAGAATCCAGTCGTTCACTTTATTGCGCTACATTTATCAACAAAATAAAGTGTCTATGAAGTAGATATTTATTTGATATTGAATATTTTGCTTATGTTATCATTGTGCGTGTTTTCTTTTACATACACTTTAAAGTGTAATGAAATTGCCATCGGGCATATACTTTTATTTTACTTCAAAAAACTAATGATTGATTTATTAATGAAGATCAATGGTAGTCGGTAGCGATCTAAGATCATTTGGTACAATATATTTTTTGTGATATTGCATGTCAGATGTTAGTTATCATGACCTCCGTGGTTTCCACTTCACAGCGCTTTTGATAGCGTGAAATCGCCAAGGTTTTAAATTTCTTAAATAAGATTCTTAATTTAACACTGTTAAAACCTGCATAATGCAAGTTCGATATTTCTTCTACATTTTCAGATGCAAACATTGAATTTAGGAAACTCAGATGTCGTCATAGACGGATTATACACAGGAAAAAGTCCCATTGTGTCGTTCTACAGAAGACAGTCAGGTTACGGTGATGATCGTGATGGAGGACACACGGTACAATTAATACAAACAATTACGAAGGAAGTCGGACGAATCACTACTTTTACCGGAAGTAAATACGTCGATCATTTTAGTTTAAACTTGGATAAAATATCGACAGAAACTGCATAATTTTAGTCATTATTATGTTATTTATGTTATTTGAATACGCATGGAGAGTGCAATATTTGTTATGTTTGATAAAAAATATTGATGATGATTAAATTACAAAAAAACTATGATTTAAAATTAAGTCATTGATTCATATGTATGTTAAAGTGTCGTATTTGGTACTCTAAATAAAGATAATTGTCACTATTCAGCCTTGAGTAATTAAACTATTGTGCAATTTCAAAATCCACTGTGTCCTGAAAACAATCGGTCTTTCGGGGTGGGGAGAGTGGATAATCAACAAGACAGGAAGTCACATGATTCGTTGAAATTTATTCATAATCTGTTTCATGTTCGAAATTCACATTTAAGCTAGTGATATGCACCAATCTTCTTTATAATCCTATCAAGGAAATTTTTAATTCAAATTCGAAGACTGCAATTCCTGCGCGTGTCATTGCGGGTAACACGAATTCACTGTTCTGGAAACTACTATGGAATTCCGTATTCAATTAAACGTTTGTGTCAAATGTACTGTAGCTCAGTTTTAAACTTCATGGAGTAAATACCAGTCAGGTAATTGTTACACACAAGGAACCCATATAATGGTTAGCAAACATTTTTTGACTTCACTGCAGCATATAAATATGTACAGATAAGGGGGTATCAACAACATAACGCTGAAAGAAAAAATACGTAGGCCGTTTGTTTTAACGCTATTGATAAACAATACCGAACCACGCCCACACTGGTACAAACACATTGAATTTTCATTCAGAAGATTAAAGAAATGAAAGTAATCTCCCTTTGATCAGTAGGATGCACTTCGATACATTACAGAGTATACAAAGTAATTAATGTTGCGCACCTATTTTTTCCTTAGTCTGTTTTACCTAATTGTTCCTTTCATCTTGCTTTCGTCATGTTAGTTTATGACACTATGACGTAAATCTCTGTAATAACACATTCCTATATGTTGGTAGATTTTACATCTTGAGCGATGATTAACTTTCCAACACAAAACAAATTATTGGCAAAATATTCATCTGAGTTTTTATTCCACATTTAAATTTTACATGTTTTGTCTTTGAAATGTACATTGATGAAAACTCATTAACTCGGAGAGTTGTAATGAATAAGGAGCACAAGAGTTATAACACAGTAATTTGAATGAAGATTACAAAGTTTCAACATAAACATGTCTGGACCGACTGTTGTAACATTAAGTCATTTTAAATAACACTTCTTTTGATATTGTCATCAGTGTGTAATTTTCCTGTTCAGCTGCCCTTAGAAACTAAAGTATGTGTTTTCTTTATTCTAGTAATGTTTTTACAAGGAGTTAAGATATGGGTTCTCAGAAACAAAATATAATTGGAAACTGTAGGGCATTTCATTTGTGAAAACAAATACAGTATTTAACAAAAAAGGAAGAGACATGATGTATCTTGTCAACATAATCATATTCGAAACCCAAATTCCATAAAACTAAGGCAAAATAGGAACAAAATAAAGAATTACACGAGACTCCTGAAAAAGCGCTGGGAAATTAAGACATGATGTTAGGGAGGAGTAAGCGCTATGTAAGTAATGTAATCTCAAATGAGAACAATGAATATCGCAATGGAACCAGCAGGAAAACTCACGAGCATCAAGTACGTCCAGCTACACATCGCACAAAGAAATGAGACCACTGTGACGACGTAAAACTTACTCATAATTTTCTTCAGCATGCATTAGCCACGAATTAACTTATTTCAATAATCTTACTTCCTGTAACATTTAGTGTTATATAAAAAAAAAATTCTCAATATTCATCGCCTGGATATACTAATAATTCATTTAATATTAGAAAAAAAAATCCGATTTGAAACAATCTAAGAATTAATCCAGGTCATATTTCATTATCAATCGGTCTATTACTTCAACAGTTGCTGCCCCTGGCTACACTTAAGCTACTTGGGGATAGTAATCAGAATAAGACTAACATAACTAATAAAGCATGGAAGTTTGTTCTGTTAACTACAAATAATATCTGTTTGTAGGAATGAAAAACAGGTGTAAATATACGGTATCATTGTTAAATTCATGAGCTGAAATACCGCAATTAATGTCCAGACGTGTTTCTTATCAAAAGAGTAAAGTTGAGTGGCATTTTTTTCAACGAATACTCTTTAGCGCTCTGTTCATCACTTACGTTAATGTTGATAATACCGAATATCAACACGTATCTTTAACATACACATTTCACTACAATGTTAATATACATTGTTGGGTAGACAACTTTGTCTCCAACATCTACATTCATCACACCAAATTACATTCAAAAACATTTTCACTCCAACAGATTGTGTGGACTTTAGATATCTAATTTAACCTAAACACGTTTTAAATCAATTTAGATCAAGGCACACGTGCAATGCATACACTTTCTATTCATATGATAAACCGAAGATATCTAATTATAGAATAGTCCTTCGCTGGAGATTCAGTAATTCATAACCTGAGATATGTCTTCATTTCATTCAGACACAATTTCGTTGAGATGAAACTTACAATGAAACTAATGCATATACAACATCAGAACGAATATACTTATGACACGATTAAATACAAGATCATAAAAATGTCAAATTACAACGTATTCGATACAAGTGAATGGTGAAATACGGCTTTACAGGAAACGAAATACCCACAAAACACCTGGCTTATACAAAAATAAGAACAGTCGATATGCAGTGCATCAAAATTACACACCTTTTTGTTTCAGTAATTAAGGTCACACGTGCGGATCAACGTAATTGTGAGCTGAAATGGATAAGATTTATTCGGTCTTGTCAAGTATTCTTTGCTATCATGACGTGTTAGGCAAATTTATCTATTTGTTCATTTATTGAGTTATTTATTCACTTCTTTAAATAAGTCACAAACAAAATAATGTTTTGCTTTTTGTTCTAGTAATTTGCTTACTGAAGGGGATTCAATGACTTCTTGCCTAATTACTTCGAGACCAGAAACTTGTTGTTTATTCCAACGTGCTTGCGCTATACATGCTATATAGCATGAAGTTTTTTTTCTGTATACATTTCTTACCATCTATAATCATATCTTTAGAACCGATCAATATAATGAAATGTGTTGCAAACATAATTACAAATCGTGGCTCAAATACTATCACATTCACAATAGTTATAATTACATCTATAACATATTCAACTTTCAATAAATATATGAAATTAAAATATTTGACACAAAATACGTTATTAAATGAATTATCAGGAAACAACGTATGGAAACAACCGACATAAATCTTTTGATGCTTTGCATATTTGTTACATTGATGCTAATGTTAAACTGATTCATGAATGAAATAGTACCACCAGCATTACGGAAACTACCAATCAAAACAAAGAATAATAGCTTCCAAAAATAACATGACTTTAGATTGGTACTATAACATTGTAATACTATTACTAGTATTACAATATGTCCTGTTTTCTGGCTGTAATAATAATTATACTTTGTACTACAATTTACGGCAATCTTTACAAAATATGATACCATCAGGATTTTATGTTTAATTTTTTCTATCTGACTTTTCATTTTTGTTAAATGATGAAAAGACAAATTGAATGTTTCATCTGACATTCCATTTTTTAAAGTGAACACGATTTCTATCTCAAAAAATGTTATTTAATTTCGCACCAGACATTCCATTTGAAAGGTGGATATAACTTCTATGTCAACAAATATAATTTTATTTTACATCTGTCATTCAATCGTTTTAAAAACTGAATATGATTTCTACCTCAAAAGTACAATTTACTCTCTTATCTGGCATTCCACATTTTTAAGAGCAATAATTACTTTCGCATCAGACAATATATCTTTTAATAATGAACTAGATTTCTCTCTTAGAAAATTGTAAAAGATTAATTATGGCTTATTTTACAAACATATTACATATGGATAATTATATTTAGCATATCATTTTAAGCAGATTTGTCAGATGCAAGCATTTTTAGGATTTTCATAGTATCTGACATAGATCTTTCTAAATTTTCAAACAGAAACATTTAAGTTGTTTAATCGGAAATTTAGATACAAACACTGTTTCCGTTTGATGATTTCTTCCTTATTCAAACTGATATATGTAATTCCCTTTCATGTTTTGCAAGAACAAATGTGCCAAAAGTGCAACTGATTCATAACTTAAGATAACACTGCAACTTAACTAAAAGACCTCGAATTTTATAATTTTATAAAATGATATCAGGAGGATTGTTAATTTCGATACTACTGGATTATCCAGGGAGTTGGCCAGTTCTTTTTACACAGAAACACAATATATGCCATTTCAACTTACTTGTAAAATTGATAAAATCATGTTATATACATATATATATATATATATATTGTATTAAATAATTATTTAATGTATCATACTACTGTTAGATGTTATATTTTTAAGAATGCCAACTGAATAAAAATTGATGATTACAGAACGTACGTCATGTTACTGAACATAAATTTCATTGTATTGTAGAACACCGATCACAGGTGTTCAGTGTTTCATTGGAAAATCACCACATTCTTCAAAATAAAAATTGCAACAATGTTCACTCTCACACATGAACGTTCATCCACAAGAAAATCAGAGGAGTCATATTGTATTGACTATCGAGGACAATGTCAAAACATGTGATCAAGTACGTAATGGTGACAGCTGAGGTGTTAATTACTGTCCTCAGACGGCGGTCTTGGTCTGCTTTGATCTCATTCCTAACATCATATAATACGTCATCACACGGAATAGTTTCAGCCATGCCTCGCTCACTTCCTCCGACCAAGAATCTTTCAGGTGCGGTTCGATTGCGTACACAAATTGTTGCCCAACCATCTGAAATTTCAAAGTATTTCATTAGAATGTGTATTGCACTGCAATAAGTTACAATTATAATGAAACTGTATCATTACATACATAGAGGATCGTTTATACCTTTGTTTGTCAGTTTCAGTGTAGTTGGTAGATGTAATAGTCAGAATGTGAATATATCGTATCCTGGCCTATTTCAATTAAGATTTACTCGAAAGATTGCTTAACATATTTGGAAGGGGCAAGGCAATATCTATTAAGATGCGGAGTTTGAATGGATGTATCGTCTTTGTGTCCTCAAGAAGGTAAATCCTAATTTTGCAGGTCTTAGTATATGTGTGTATATTGTTTCTGAATACCTTACTTATATTGTTGGTGTATCACAGACTGCTTCAGGGTAGGACAGAACTACAGACGTCGAGGGAAAATCAATTGGTGTCTAGCCGAAAGCTTTTCATGGGAACAAATTATCAGTATCTCCTCCTAAGATAGAGTTCTCATTCACGCTCTCAAGCTGGAGAATGCTATTTCCCAGCTTATATTTGACAAATTTATTTCACACAGACAGAATAATAAAAACAAGAGATGGTGTGCTACCATAACCATTCTTTCATCCTTATTTATTGTTCAATATCAGCAGAACTAGATAAATAGGTATTAAGCATAAAAGTATGTTTAAATGTTTAAACTGCTAAGTATAGAACCAAAAACTCATTAAAGCATGCGACTATGTGTATTAACTTTAGGTAATATGCGTGAAATGTCCTGATCAGTTCGCGCTTCCATTCCGTGCGTGCCGATACCCTGAAAAAAAAGTGTACACTACTTTGCCCAGTTGGGAAGAAAATGAGCAGAAATTGTGCAACTTTATCCAAGGTTGATGAACTCTCTGGTAAATCAATCGTGAAAATGCCGTACCAATATCAAATTTCAACGGCAAACAAATCCACAGGCAGCCGTCTCTTTAAACACTTCTGGTGATTCTGTGTGATTTACAGATACGTGAAGAAGGGCAATAAACTATAGGACCAAATATAACCAAACAGCTAATTAATCTAGAAACAAGTCAAATGGAAATATATTCACATGAGGAAATAAAACTTTTGGCTTTTCTATATAATGACTTATGAACGACGTTACTACATGGTGACCGCTCCTTTATGGAAATTTTATTAGAAACATGCTGACGGTTAAGTCCAATTTATCTTCTTTGACTACAGTAATACAGCAACACAACTGCAGGGAACCAACTTCTTGAACATTTGCCTTGTTTTAAAGATTAAATGTTGTCATTTCCTGGAACTTCCTAGTTTCTGTATAATTCACATGCTTTTTTTAATCTGATGTCAAGATAAATGCTATGGTAAACTTATTACGATTTACTACATACAGATGGCTTGGTCAATAAATCCGCTCTGCCTGTTGCCCAATTCCTATTGTCAATACCACCAAGACAATAAAATATTCTGAAATTAAAACAAATCCGCAATGGTTTCATTCACAGAACGTACATGATAAGCATATCGGTGTCCATATCGGTGTCTATTATCATTTCCGCTTTAATTGATACTGGTGTCATTACTGATATGAATACGAAACTCTCGAGGAAACAGACAATACTGTTCATGCTGATCGATGCAACATTAATGGTTATTGCATATCCGAATTTAGGTCTTCTAAACATGAACAATGCAGTAATTGAAGTTTACCCCCCCCCTCGCCCCCCATATATATGTATATTTACATCTCCCTCCCCACCTCTCTCTGCCTTCCTCCCTTCCCCCTCTCTCTCTCCCTTCCGCCCTACCCCCCTCTCTCTCTCCCTCTTTATCTCACTCTCTCCCTCCCGCCCCCCTCTCTCTCCCTCCCTCCCTCTCCCCCCTCTTCCCTCTCATTCTCTCTCTCTCTCTCTATCTCTCTTCCGCCCTACCCCCTCTCCCTCTCCCTCTTTATCTCACTCTCTCCCTCCCCCCTCTCCCTCTTTATCTCACTCTCTCCCTCCCCCTCTCTCTCCCTCCCTCCCTCACTCTCTCCTTCTCTCTCTCTCTCTCTCTCTCTCTCTCTCTCTCTCTCTCTCTCTCTCTCTCTCTCTCTCTCTCTCTCTCTCTCTCTCTCTCTCTCTCTCTCTCTCTCTCTCTCTCTCTCTCTCTCTCTCTCTCTCTCTCTCTCTCGCGGAGGGTATGCAATGATTGATGAATGTTTTCTGGAAGGTAAATGCTGGTGCCTTCTAAATGATTAACTCTTTCAAAGGTCAGACAACCCTAATTAAACAATCTACAATCGATGATGTTATTACGGCGTTTGAAACGTTGCAAAAGTATAGGGCAATCAGATCAATGCATTCGTTACCTAATGTGCAATACAAGACACACAACGTAGAACCCCGGTAACCGCTCATTGTCCATAACAACAATTCATCAATGCATATGTTGAATAGGAATTTCGGGATTTCTGTTACTTCCATGGTAACGAGGAATGTCAATTGCCTGGCTATTTACATTTAGGCTATTAAGAAAACATGTCCTGTAGATTATATAATACATGCTACATTTTCCCATTTATTCATCATATATCCCTTCATTTGATATTATGATAGGGACGTTTTGGGAGATAATATAATTTTGTGACATTGTGATTTTATTGGTATTGTTCTCCTAGCTTTGTTGTCGATATGCGTCTTCTGTGACACAAGAGGCCAAAAATTTGCAAATAGAAAAAGGTGTGAAGCGAAAACAAATGAAGTTCATCATAAAACATTGGAAAGATAATATTATCTGATAACTAAACCCATGAAATAACTTTGGATTTAAAATAATGTTGTAGAATATTAGATGGAATCTGAATCCGAGTCCTTTTCCCAGGAATGTACACAGGGCATGAAAGGTGACGACAACCGTATGGGACATATGTATTCCCATATATACCACGTTATGATGTCTTCATTTCCTCGTTGGACCAATGAAATCGTATTACAGGTTTGTTTAATCTATTCAATATATCAGGCCGAGGTCAGCTGCCAATAAGAACTAACAATCATTTATTATCCCCGTCTTGATGTCGAAATCTATTGTGCTTCTTGTACTTCCATCCTGTTACCCGCCCTTAGGGAAACCACGTCCTGTACTTGAATTACATTGAATCCCTTTGTCCTTGAATCAGATTATAGTTAAATCCATTATACGTGTCTAAGGAATGGTCGAAACACTTCTCCGTCTGTTGTATATGACCAGGTCTGCCCAAAGGATTTAGATAATTCTTTTTTATAACAAACTAATGTTATTTTTCCAATGGTTCGTTATGAATTAGGATCTTATAACTTGGATACCTTGTAGTCTGCTGAGACCACCTCCCCCCACCCCCACCTCACCTCAATTTCCCTTTCTCCAAGTAGGGCAAAATTTTGTATCTGATGCCCCTGTTGCAAGAATTCTAAGAGACATTAAAACTTTTGAATTTATCTCGGCTTGATGAACAAAAAATTCTTCCTAATATAGATTTACGTACAAAGGAACAAGGAGAACAGGACCAGATATTCCAGTAGGATTAGCGTCTTCTGCTTAATCGGCGACACCGTGTAAATGTTGCTTTTCACTTGTGTGTCTTTTGTACATATGTTCATTGAGATCATTATGACGACCGCAAAACGTCCCCATTCATAGACTTACACCTGTCGGAACTCTGTGTGTAGTTGCGCAATTATCTCCATGTCATAAAATATCAATTTAATTAACAATATGATATTGCATGCATATATCCTAATGATGTTTAATATCGTCATATATCTTTGAAGTAAGGCCGCAATATCCTGTCACGTCCATCTATTAAACATAGTAATCACATGATACTCGGTATTCACATCTGAATTTAAAAAGTAGGTCAATAGCTTCAAGGGAATAATCACCAAGTTACCATAAACGAGACCTTCATTACGGTCTCGGACTTGTGTACAGTATACCATAGGCCAGAACATCAATGTAATCTCCCGACATAATTATTCTCTTGTGAAAATATCTATATTCTATTTCTCTGCATGAGGTCCTCCACCGTTTGAAGCTTGATTAAGCAGACATCACCAGATATATGTTTCTAAACATAAATATAGTCGACCTAATGATCCCATATATTATATAAATGCAACACAATTCTGTAAGATGATAAGACGTATATGGCTAATTAATTCTGTTTGTCGTAAACTTTGATTTGTAGCCTTAATTGCTTCAAATGCAAAAACATGTTTCTCATGCTTTCCAATTTTCTACTTCTAAACCTAGAGTTGTAACACAAAGTATTGATGGCTTTATGAGTTGTCAAACGAAATTTGGGTATATTAAATGTGTACTTGGTGCTCAGCTTGGCGTTCATGTCTGAAATGAGTCGATAAACCCACAAACTTAGATTGAAAGGGGAGTCATTGCTATGCTACATCAAAGGACAAAATCTGTATCTATCTGGTTTCAGATGTAGGGGGGACGTATTACAACAAACGATAGGTTAAGGTAATGTTGATAGGATATTCGTTCCAGTACCCAATTCTATGAGGCGATTTATGTGGGTGTTCAGTATAGTACGTGGCTAATTAGCGAACTAACGTGCCGGGCACTGTTGCAATATTGTCTTATAGTCAGCGAATACAACAAACAGATTCTTATTGATTCGTAAATGATAGAAAAACCAATATATACATTCCTGATATTGATCAATTTGAACTAAGGTAATAGAAAAAATCAATTTCGAGGAAGTGAAATATCTAATCTGTCTATAGGTTAATTAAACTAGTACTAACCTCATTAGCTGTCTACAGTTTCCCTGACATTTCTTGTAGTACAATCAGTCATAGTGTGTCACTTAGATTAAACTATTGATTTCTTGTCTTATTTTGACGAAAGACAACCAACACTTCCAATATCGGGGATATATACTACAATGTACAATCTCTTCCTTGAAAATAAATTATCGCTCTAACGATTTAAAGCAAAATCGCAGAATTTCCTACTATCTAATAATCCCAACCGTATCACGGCTTCTTTTATTCCCATTTTCAACGACACAATCTGAGCATATGATACTATGAATGGGTTCGACAGTTTCGATGCTGAATTATTAGATCATGTTGATATCTAATAGACCTGATCTAGCTACAAATCTGGACACAGGAAATTATAGTACATATGTTTGTATATTTTACTACGGCTATAATGATATCACATGAAGTGGCAGAGGCAAGCTGTTACAGACTGTAAAGCAGCTTTGTAAATTCTGTAGTTTCAAATGATGTTACAGTGATATGAGAGGCATTTCTATGAAACGAAAAGCGCATTAAAGTGGCTTAATGCTGGCAGACCTGGTGGTACATAAAATTATCTAATATAAAGCACTACAAGAAACCTTTTCTTTAATCACAACATTGCCAGCCAGATACAAAGCCAGTGCATCCAGGGACTGAAAATCTCATGAGGTAATCAATAGTTAAAATATACCTCAGAATATCAGAACATCAGTTCGAACAGTTAAAAGAACAGTCCCACTTCTAATGATCTTCTCTATAACTGGCTTTTACAGGTAACATCTTGCATTTGATTAGATTAGTGCACGATTAGGAGATTGTGTTCAGCGGTGCATGGCTGGATTCCAAACTGAACTTTAGTTAATATACTAAAATGTGTTCCGTAGACCTGGTAATACATATTAGGATATTTATAAATATAGTCCATTACACTTTCCTTAAATAATCAACCTACACAAATACTAGTGTTTTAATGTAACTTAATGAACCGTAGGATATTGGCGTTCACTGCGATTTGGCCATCTTACACACCATGTACATGCACGCCAAATCACAAGACGTGCCGTCATTAAATATCAACACTTTCCGCCATCATGTCACTAGACATGACTCACCATTGAAGAATTGACTTTGACGCCATTAAATAAATTGACCGACAAACCATTTAAGTACCTAATATCCATGAAATCACCAGACCGCATCAACATGAAATTAACAGAATGATCCACCATGAAATTGTCATAAGGCCACCACGGATCAGTTCTGAAAGTCACGCCGTTTTAATAGCAAAGTGGTTTTTCACAACATATGTTCAATAATGGTAGTGTACATACATGTTAATACATCAGTACTTACAAGAATATATAATGTACATATATGACAATGTACATTTACATATCTGGCATTTCAAAAGGAACTAACACCTAACAAGTCTCTTAATTAGTCGCCATACTTTTAACATAACGATAGATTATTGGTTAACACTAAACAAATGATTTGTTCTTTCATTATATGAAACAACATTACCTATATAGGACATTGCAAACCCCTCCAATACCAGTGACGAAAATACCTTATCAGTGATTTTATCCCTTCAAACTTACGTCAATGAACTCAATTTGAGCATTGTAGGATATATGGCGCTGTCCGAGTGATGACATCAAGTCCCGTAATTTGTCCGGCTGTGAGGCACGTGCAATACATTTATCTACCGTTCCCATTACCCGTAGAGAATGACTTTTCAGGATGGCACTCAGTTCCAAATCTGTTTTGCTGAGCTGGCGGAATGGCAGGAAAGAGTCTTGAACTTCTGGATGTGTCTCGAACAATCTACAAGAGAATGAAACATAGCTTATTCATAATGATTAGCCATCTTGATGTGGGATGTTGGCAGATCCTTCGGGGAGACTATAGGTGCTAGAAAAAGATATTCATTATTGGAACAAAAGCGCGGTTCGTTGTGAAACGTTACTAGGTGATGTAGTGCCCCTAGAATTCCATGTTTTCTTAAATTTTGATTGATTTCTTTGTGCGATATGAAGTTGCGCGTGTTCGATGTTCGTTAGTTTGCCTATTGGTTCCATTTCTGTAAAACCTTGTTCTCATTGAGAGCATGACATTATTTACTTAGATTGACGAAGGTTTACCTGGTGGACGTCGACGATGAGCAGTACCTGCTTACACTTCCGGAACAAATGGTCTTATTCTAACTGTAGTGTTAATCTGTCTTTTATTCATATTTTGGCATATTGAGTTTGAGTTTAGAGCATACTTATGTTGACATGTTGGTATTGTCTATTGATCAAGTGCATGTGTATATATTTAAACGTAGCAAGCGGTTTTTATGGCTAGACACAATATAGCATATACTGTACAAATGTCCACAGGCAATAACTCCTCTTTAATATTTTATTGTTGTTCAGAACATGCTATCATCACAAAGCAAATCAAAGTTAAGTATTAGATACAAAATGAGACCATTATGATGACCATAATACGTATTTATTATTGTTATCAACCTGCTACTTTTGAAAGCCTGTGTTTTAAGTCTGTCAGCTGTCGACGGAGATATGCCAACTCAACTACAGCATATACACACTATAAGTTGGGGAAGCAATGATATTATTATTTCATAAATCAAAATCGTCACGCTTTTCTAAAAGAGGTCCATCAACTCCATTTGTGTCTTTGTATCTTTCAATAACAAAAGTATTGACCATAGCAATATGATTAGAAATATCCTCTGAAGTTCTTGATAGGTTCAATATGTATCGATCTGTATGAAAAATGGGCCAATAAGGTCTGTATCGCCCACCTGGCTTTGCGTTGTTGGAATTGATTCACCCAAACTAAAGAAAGGGAATTTTAAATTTCTAAAGTTCTAGAGACCGAGACTTCCGAGAAGTTATACATAACTTATTTCCTTCAAGCAAAGGATGCTTCAGCCCAAATTTGTGCAATATCTAATCAATCCTACAGGAGTAGGGATTTCAGATTTTCCCGTCTTAGGACCATCCCTTCAGGCTTCTGAGGTCCAAAATGTACACAAAATTTGTTCCACTTCCCTCAAGGATTCTTCTGACCAATTTTGTTTTTATCAAAATCCTAACAGCTCATTTATGACAATAGGAAAAAATGTTTTTCGATTGAGAAACAGTAGGGAGAAATAGTTAGTCTGAATCATACAGTTAATAAGTCCTTACAGTAGGCGTCAGTGATACCAGATGCGTTTATTGTTGAAATCTGTAGTTGACCTCGTGAAATCAAAATGGCTGAAATTAATATCAATATAGAAGATAATATATTCCAATTTTCCTTTTCTTTGTATGGAATCCATAAATTTTAATGGTTTGTTTTTAATAACACATACATAAAATGAAGAATATTTTAATCAAATAAAATCATTAACAAGACGATGTTAAAAAGGGTCAAACTGACGAACGTTATTAAAAAAGGATCGAAGTGCAGGGCGTTATTAAAAAAGGATCGAAGTTCAGGGCGTTATTAAAAAAGGATCGAAGTGCAGGGCGTTATTAAAAACGGATCGAAGTGCAGGGCGTTATTAAAAAAGGATCGAAGTGCAGGGCGTTATTAAAAAAGGATCGAAGTGCAGGGTGTTATTAAAAAGGGATCGAAGTGCAGGGTGTTATTAAAAAGGATCGAAGTGCAGGGCGTTATTAAAAAAGGATCAAAGCATAAGACATTATTTGAAAAAAGCCGAAGTGTATGGAGTTATTTTAAAAAAGCCAAAGTGTATGGCTTTATTAACAAAGAGTCAAAGTAGAGGACGTTATCAACAAAGAGTAAAAATGTAGGATGTTATTAAAATGGTGGGATCAACGTGTTGTAATGGATGAACCGTATTTATTTAGGTAATTTTGGTAATTTCCTTTTTCAAAATAAAAGATCTTAATGGGGTTTCTTATCAAGACCTTTCTAATGATTATTTTTTCTATCCGAACCTCCAGTGATAATGGAATTAACACGAACCCGTATAAAACCGAAAGATACCAGCTCTATTGCATGATAAGCGGTTCGTATTCCATTGGGCATACAGTCATCTTTATCGCACCTCTTTAATCATTTAACTCGGTGTAAATTTTATTTGGATACAAATGTAATTAGAAAACAGACGTAATTATGAAAATAAAATCCTCTACTGACGAGGTTAACATTATCACCATACTTTTAGTAATTGGCACGATATCAACCGTAGAATCTAGATAGTTTGGGTTTATCACTCCTATGTGGACTTAAGTGTTATCAGGTCTTGACGTAATTCGACTGTGATATTGATTGATATGTTGCATTGTTCACTGACTGAAATATTTATGCGTATCGACTTTATCTACTTCAGGCGTACATTTTCTCTGTTTAAGACTGTACAAGACACACAAGAGAAAAGCATCTTATAAGACAAATTTAGGGATAGAGAGAGTAGAGCCAGACTTTGAATTAAAACTACATCATATAGCTGTTTCGTCATTCTAGGACTCGCCAGTGATTCTAAGGCCTAAATTTTAAAGCTTCGGAGGCGACTGAGGAAAGTCCAAAGTGATTGAAATTCGGAGGTGCACCAGCCCCGTAATTAAATAAGTTTCGTAATTTTCATAGATCAGGTAATTCTAGAACAGCATTAAGCACATGTGTCTATTTACGTGAAGTAAGAACGTAGAAAGTAGGAAGGAGATGGGCGGTATACACCCATATGTTTCATTCGTTGACCTTATCCAGGCTAACAGTTGATTCAGTGTTTTACCTTTCCGCAATCCCAATGCCACTTACCATTTTCACAAAAACCTATTACACAAGACAATGAGAACAAGAGAACCAACAAGAATTTTGGCATCCATAATCCTTATAATCAAATACCAGGAGACCAGATATATATGAAATGTCACAAAAACAGGAACACCAACGTTAGATATAGTGTACAATATAATCATTATCCAAATTCAAATTCCAGGGAACAATATGAACAAAATATTTACACGGAGACTCATGAAAAGGTACAAGTAGAATAAGACCAGGCAATCCGACAGAGTAAGCGTCTTCTGCTCCATGGACGGCAACTGCTATGTAAACCTAGGTCAATCCAAGTAAGAAATGTCACGTTCGCAATTGAGTAATAGGTATACAACAACGGAACCAACAGACAAATTAACGAGCATCAAGCACGTCCAGCTTCACATCACACAAAGAAATACACTAGTTTTCAATGGGATCAATATGACGACCATAAATCGTTCCGATAATTTTCATCAACCTGAATCTTTTGAAGCCCTATGTTACGAGTTTGTTCGTCAGCTGAGGAGTTCATTCACGTAAATCATGATAATGGGAGCAGGCCCTTGTATATCGAATCAACTGTGACATTTAAATACCATAGGTAGGAGATACAGGGATATTGCTATCCATAATTGTAAAAAATTCACAATAGGGAAATTAAAATCAATAACGCCAAAATGTATAAATGTAATTGATGTTTTTTTCTTAGCCTATTTTTAATTCACTTTTTATTAATTTATCTTATTAAAAAGACTTTTTGAAGTAGCAACGTTAAACTGTTTTTTTCACAACTTTCAGATTCACATCAAAATGACTCAATTGCGTAGACCGTAGTACACTTCGCAATCAATCATCTCTGTAAGCTGAGAAAAGAAAAGGAAGATTAAATACAAGTGGACGTGGTATATAAAACAGGGATTTGTCAATCAAGGCAATAAAGAGTTGCAATATATTGAATTTCACAAAGGAAATGAAAAACGGGTGTTTTAGCATCTGATATTGATTTCACGTGCACTTTAACAAGAATGATCAATCAGTCTTAATAAAAGACATATAACAAAATGAATGACCTTTCAAGCATCACAAACAAAGCAATATTGCTTTTAGCTGTATCATTTACATATTTCGATCTCTCAGTTCAGTGCACAACGTCTTTCTTTCGATTCCCATTTCATATCATTTAAGTTTAATGTGGATTGTACTATGCCACTTGGAATGATTTGATCTGTAAGAAATTGAAATATTGAAATCACCGAGACGATCTGCTTCTCTGTACGTAAATTTTGTCAACGTAACAAAAAATTAAAGGTAGCTTTATCAACATATTCAACACCTGTAGATAATTTTATCAACGAAAGAAACACCTGTACGTAAGTTTATCGACATAGGCCATACCAGTAGGTACCTTTATCAAAATATGCAACACCTGTTGGTAACTTTATCAACATGTGCAACACATGTTGGTAACTTTATCAACATGTGCAACACCTGTTGGTAACTTTATCAACATGTGCAACACCTGTAGGTAACTTAATCAACGTAAAGAACGCTTGTAGGAAACTTTATCAACATATGCAACACCCGTAGATCACTTTATAAACATGTGCAACATGTTTAGTTAACTTTATCAACATTTGCTACACCTGTAGGTAACTTCATCAAGACGAGGAACATCTGAAGATGGCTATCAACGTGATGATCATTTGTATGTATCTTTATCAACATATACAACACCTGCAGGTAACTATCAACGTAACGAAAACAGGTAGGTAACTTCATCAACATAATCAATACACGTAAGTATATTTAATACGTGTGTGTACGTAGTAACTGAACTGTTCATGTACGATTGTAAAATAATCTGAACTAGTCTCATACAATACCTTACCTGGATCATCTGAATACACGCTATACTTATTACCTATTAGTGGAGATAGATAAACAAAAATCTTTTATTCACTGCAAAAAATCTTTGATACACTATTTAAGTCCGGAGATAGAGCATAACTACTGCCGAAGATCCGTGTTTAGAAATAATAAGG